CAAATGAATGACCTCAACCCACTTTCTAGGTTTGGCTTGCTTTTTGTCAGATGACCGTTAAGGCCCATGGGCCTCTTGTTTAACTTCTTAATTGGGTTCCAGAAAGTTGGCTGTCTTTCTTTAGTTGATATTCTATGGTTGCTGCCATTAAGGACCTTTACACGTTAATTGCTATCATGCAATAATCCATTTTCATGAGTAAAGGGTGTTGGAAGAATAAATATATAGCCGGAAACTATGAACCTAGTCACCACTCAAGTCAAAATGTTTCACAAACTGCTCACCACTAGTATATTTACCACATTTAATCCCCTCTAATACCCACACCCACTGATCCCCATGATTCCATTTTCCCACATTCAAACTACTATGAATCCTATAATGTCCCACTATATAGACATTACAAACATGCGTCCCACTATACAGACACTACAAACATGCGTCTCACTATACAGACATTACAAGCATGTGTCTCACTATACAGACACTACAAGCATGCGTCTCACTATGCAGACATTACAAGCATGTGTCTCACTATACAGACACTACAAGCATTTGTCTCACTATACAGACACTATAAACATGCGTCCCACTATATAGACACTACAAACATGTGTCCTACTATCTCACACAACACACGCTTGTCTCCCACTGTCAAGACATGAGAATGATTCTGTTGTTCTGCTAATGATCTAGAGCCTGATATAAAATGGTGTCATATGTTTCATTGTTTTACAATCCAGCCACTTTTAAACAAAAGTGTCTGGACTTAGAACTCCAATACATATAAATGCTTGGGCGACATAAGTAGCTTATGTGTTTAGGCTGCCTCTGTTTGTTCCATATGTATATATCTTCGGTGGCATATTGTCATCTGTCATCTTGGATGGATTAATGTATTTCTAAAAAAAAGTCATTGGATTATAAACAAAGCCAGTGTATGTAGGATAAAGTGCTTGTATCAGCGGAACTGATTACATCTGACATAACAGCTTCATACATCATATACACTTAACACTGAAATACTACTATCGTACTTGTCACTCAGGAAAGGCATGCTGAATGCCAGATTATTTTGTCGGATGTAAAAATGAACTTTAAAACATGTGTGAAAAGAGATAAACAGTACAATTTAAAAGTTTGTTTTATTCTGAGTGTGTTATCTACTGTGTAACTGAACCATAGATATATTCTGCTGGATAACAAAATACATATGTATTCCTTGTTATCTACTGAATAACTGAACTATTCCTTGTTATACGCTGGATAATTGAACTATTCCTTGTTATCTACTGAATAACGGAACTATTCCTTGTTATCTACTGAATAACTGAACTATTCCTTGTTATCTACTGAATAACGGAACTATTCCTTGTTATCTACTGAATAACAGAACTATTCCTTGTTATCTACTGGATAACTGAACTATTCCTTGTTATCTACTGAATAACTGAACTATTCCTTGTCATCTACTGGATAACTGAAATGTTTGATGTTGAGATTTGAAGAACTTCGGGACCATAACAGATTAGTAGTTTATGCAGTAGTAAAAATAAAACTGATATGAAAAATAAAGAAAAAATAAACATCATAGTTATGACAAAAAGAAATAAGCTGTGACAAAAAGAAATAAGCTGTGACAAAAAGTTTATGTCCAAAGAGGTTATACAATAGAAATACATAAAGAGACACTCTAACACAGGGACATGTATAAATAACAATGTTCTGACACAGTGATCAATGAAATAAAATGAGAGAAGTCCAGACACAGGGATGTGTAGAAAAAATACATGGAGATGTTCTGACACAAGGACAATTAGAAGTATTAAAAAAAAGACATTGTGACATAGTGACAAAGAAATGAAATGAGAAAAGTCCTGACACATGGTCGTATAGAAAAAATACATGGATGATGTTCTGACACAAGGACAATTGGAAGTATTAAAAAAAAGACATTGTGACATAGTGACAAAGAAATGAAATAAGAAAAGTCCTGACACATGGACGTGTAGAAAAAATACATGGATGATGTTCTGACACAAGGACAATTGGAAGTATTAAAAAAAAGACATTGTGACATAGTGACAAAGAAATGAAATAAAAGTCCTGACACATGGACGTGTAGAAAAAATACATGGATGATGTTCTGACACAAGGACAATTGGAAGTATTAAAAAAAAGACATTGTGACATAGTGACAAAGAAATGAAATAAGAAAAGTCCTGACACATGGACGTGTAGAAAAAATACATGGATGATGTTCTGACACAAGGACAATTGGAAGTATTAAAAAAAAGACATTGTGACATAGTGACAAAGAAATGAAATGAGAAAAGTCCTGACACATGGACGTGTAGAAAAAATACATGGATGATGTTCTGACACAAGGACAATTGGAAGTATTAAAAAAAAGACATTGTGACATAGTGACAAAGAAATGAAATGAGAAAAGTCCTGACACATGGACGTGAAGTAGACATTCTGATACAGTGACAAAAAGAAATGAAATGAGAGAAGTCCTGACACAGGGACATGTTGAAAAATTCATGGAGGCATTCTGACATTTAGAAGTCCGGAAAAAGACGTTCTGACACAGTGACGTAAAGAAATAAAATGATGGAAGTCCTGTGTAGACGTGTAGAAATATAGATGGAGAGGGTCTGATACAGAATGGCACAGGATGTATAGAGACAGATTCTGACTAAGACACATTTTGTGATACAAAGCTTCTATACAAAAGGTTTGTTTTACAAGTTCATGTCTATTTAGGAATAACATTTTACTATCAATAATCTTCTTAGCGAGTAGCATATCGACTCCAGGTTTATTTGAGATATATTTTTGTAATTATCAAACGTTCATGAACACCTGTTATATATAGCTGAATGTTTTCCCCTCGTTAACATTTTTTGTAAAGTTTATTTATCATTGTTATAAATGGATCAATGATCCTACTGTCTGTCTTAATAATAACTTATGGATCCTTACAACACTTACTGCTGTGTAATTATATAGTTTATAAATAAACATAGGTTGGTGGATTAGGTTTAGGACTTTGAGATAATTCCTAAACAAGTATCTTCTTGGCCTACTACCCCAGTAACTGATCATATCTGCACTGAACTGCCAAACAAGTGACTTCCCCTATGAAAAGAAGCTCTGATGTTGCAGTGTTTAATAACTCTGTTAGTCTTACTCACATTGTTAACATGGCAAATGTTGATGAAATGAGGACCTGGATTCAAATTATTTGGAAATCAAGTGAAACGTTCCTCATAATCAGTCATATATCGTGCTAACATTGCATTAATTGACTGTGTGACAAATAAAAAAGATAAATGAAAAAAAAGATAACCAGTAGCTAATGATCTGGGTTGTAGCAGAACAGCACAATTATATTTTGATATAGCAAATGTTTTAGAAATTTGGATCATTACAAGCCAAATACATGAATATTGTGTTTCTTAAATTTCATTCTTAGTTTTCATAACATGCATTACTCATAAGTATTTTACAGATCAGATTTTAGCTGATAAAAATGAACACCTTCAGTAAGACCAGCACCCTTTCCTGAAATGTTTAGACAAGATTTTATTTATAGGATTGGTTAAGCTTACAAAGATTTATGGGTAGTAGTTGATGAGGGCATATCTCTCTCCACTAACAGTGAGAGACACATGTCACTTCCTGTTCAAGGATAAGCTCGTATCTCACCTTCCTCATCAGGGAATTTTACTAAGCAAAAACACAGTAAAAACTCAGAAACAAGAGTAAGGAATTTTGTGAACATGTTTAAGTAGAGTTGAGATTGGGAACATGTGAGGATTTTCAGGTGGTTTGTAGAATCTTCATCAGCTGTGAAAAAGATAATAACGTCTGCATGCATGTAAGAACGTTTTACTTCTCCCAGATTTATTTTTATCTCTTTGTCTGAAGGCTAGGATGGATTTCTACATTTATATGCAATCTTCAGTATTTGCTTCAAAAGATTGCTTTTTCCTAATAATAGCTTTATTGATTGTCACTAGATTTGTTACAAGATGGCCTCTTTTAAGGTAAAATATAGTCCATTCCTCAGAGAGGAAATTTGCATTGAGCAATCAGAAAAATTGTAAGGGATTTTGTTAAAACCTAAATCTCCCAAATGCCTTTAGTTATGAAGGAATTACAATACTAAGTTTCTGTGAACAATGACATTTTCAAGGCAATTATTTCTAAATGAAATAAAGTTGGAACCACAAACAGAGGCGGAGGATCATGACCCAATAGAAAGTTTTGCTTCAAGAGGATATTCTAAATAAATGCACTGCCTGAATGGTTACCTATTTGGTATTAACATCTTTTAATAAAGCCATACAAAGATTTCAACAGACCTCGTTTCTTGTTCATCTATATCCTGGGGATATAATGATCATCCCCACTCCAGGGACAGGACCAAATACAGCCTGATCCTTGAGTCTGTCCTCTCCCTCTCCTAGATATTGGGTCATAACATGGAAAGGGCAAAGGTCACATGCCATTAACAACATAAAAAATTACTAGGTTTAAAGAAAAGAATGCACATGTACTACAAGAACCTAGACCTAGTCTTGTAACTTTGTCATGGTTTATGACATAGAATATTCACAGTTCCTGTATAATATCTATGTGTAACATACTGCTGTGGATGATAAAGATGAACACAGTCATGCTTCCATGATTAGAACCAGAGCCTGGCTTGATCTTTACAGAACTGGTTCCAACTTATATAGGTAAAGCAACTCATGTATTATATAAAGAAACCTCAACCAAATTTTCCATGAGGAATTCTGTAAGGAAGAGTTTGATCACTGAAGGGCAACGCCCATCCTGGGGGATTTTGACAACTAAGGTCTTATTCTTTCTCTTTTAGAAAAGTTAATGATATTTTAGTCAGTTTTCAAGTATATCTCATCCTTGGCACTGAGAGGCAATATTCTAGTTGTTCATGAAATAAATAATGTGATGTTGTATTTACATAGGGCTGAGAAATCTGAGGTCCTTTCTGAAGATTTACAAACAATTGAAAAGAGAGTAGAGCTTGTGAAAACCGTGGTGCAGATAACATCCAAGAAAGTGGCAGGCAGTCTTCAGTCTTCAGCTGGCATGGATGTGGAGAAAAGGCTTGTAAGTAAAGAAATACACACTTACCTGTACACTTCAATTCCTAAAAGTAAGGAAATCCACACTCACCTGTTCACTTTAGTTCTTAGTTTTATTGGCCTAGTTTTCAATAATGACTTCATATGTTTTATACACAAGTGATGCACCTCAAAGTTTACAAATATAAATGTACGTTACATTTATTTGCTCCTGTTTTGGTCAGCTACATAGCTTTTCCCCTATGATAGGTCTTTGATTGTGAATATAGCTCACCTAGTGAACTGCTGTGTTTTGTTTCCAGAGGAAATTACCAGAAACAAATTTGGCACATAGTTTGATAGAAAATGCAAATTTACTGGGAAAGGACTCTGTCATGGGGTGAGTATGAAATATAAACCCAGTGTAAGTAAAGTCTGTATTGTAATAAAAGTTGATTGATTTGGTTTTGTAATCAGTTCATCTGATTGTTGATGTGATTATTAATCCAATGAAATATAAAACAGTATCACAAGCTTATGATTGTTGAAATAGAAAACACTGATACCTGTGTGGTATAGTTTGGCCACTGGGCCTTATATAAAGGACAGGAACTATATTAGCTAAAATTTGTCATGTAGGTTTAAAAATGAAATATATAGTATGTAGCACTATTGATACACTCTGTTAAATGCTATAAGGTTTCCCTCCATGCACATACTGATGTATTAACATTTGTATTTCAGGAATATGTTCCAGATGTGTGGTGAGTGTGAGAGTAACCTAGCGTCTAACGCCCTTCAGTATGAAATAGATGTAGAGGCCAAGGTGTTAGGACCACTACAGGAGATGTTTGATGTAAGTGCGCTACCTACCTCAGTAGATATGTTACCCTAAACCCTTAATTGTAAACTACTTCCTTTTTCCTCAAATGTTTTGGAAGTGACTTACCTGTGATGAAATGCTGTATACAGTGATGAAATTAGGCTCCATAAGAAGTTACCAGTCCTTTGAGGATGATACACATTTAATTTCCTGATAATGCTATAATGAATCATGTGAATGTTTCAGAATGATTTGCCTGGTATTGCCAAATGCAAAAAACAGCTGAGCAAACTGACACTGGATATGGATTCGGCTAGGAGCAGGTACATAGACCATAGTAGTCTTAGAGTTTCAATATTAATCTTAGCAAACTATCACACTGATTAATCAAAACATAGCAAGGATCAAATGTTAAGCAAGAAGAGTCAGATCCTAAAGATTTTCAAACTGTGTTGATTGATTGTTCCAATTATTACTTAAAGCACATATTCCAGGTAGATGATGTATTATACAAAATTGTTTACAACAATAATGATAACAAAAGTCAGCAGCGTTTGCTTGTCCTCCTATATTCATTTAACTTTTTTCAGATGGAACACGGCCATGAAATCAACTCAAGTCCATGGAACAAATATGGCATCTGCCTCTGCCAAAGCTGACACGATTAAGGAGGAGTACGAGGATTCTGTGACAAGGATGGGGCAGGCCAGAGTATGTATACTTATGTACCAGTGTCTGTTCAGCTTTCCCTAGCTGGAGGGTAGTACAGATAAATCTCTACCTTAGGAGGAAATTCACATGTCTAATTCGAGGGTTACACCTTTGGGAATTTCCTTCTAGATATGTGAAATATGTAAATAACAAGACAAATGTTTGAATAACATGACAACTATATGCTGACAAAGTTGGACACAAAATCAGGCTTTATTTTGACTGATTTATGATATATATATATGTTGTTTGAAGACAATCATGATTATAACTCATTGTCATAAAACTGAGTTGAATAATCAAAGATGATCAGATACTGTCTAACAATAACATTAAACTTATCTTAAACTGTCAGTTTTTATCTGTCAAGTCTCAAATTTAGAACTTTTGGTTTAGCATGTGTTTGTGCTCTGTTCATGCAGGCTGTCTGACCCCAGTAAGATAGAGATATCTTACCCTCACAGGAAGTATGGGTATTTCTGTTCAATGGGTAGAAAAACCTGATCTAGTAAACAATTAGTCAACATATGTCCTGACCTAGGTATCCATTAGTCAATGCAGGTCCTAATCTAGGAACTAATTATCTAACTCAAATCCTTATCTAGAAACCAGTTAGTTAACATAGGTCCTAATAAAATTAGTCAATACATGTTCTCATTTTAAAACCAATTAATCAAAGCAAGTCCTGATCTAGATATAAATTAGTCAACTCATGTCCTCATTTTTAAACCAATTAGTCGAAGCAAGTCCTGATCTAGATATAAATTAGTCAACTCATGTCCTCATTTTTAAACTAAGTAGTCGAAGCAAGTCTTGATCTAGGAACCAAATAAGAATAATGCACAAGTAATTTTGTTCTCTTCATCATCACTGTATGTTGAAAATATTGAATTGTTTTGTTGATTTAAAGTCTAAATACGAAGGGACTGTTACTCATGTAACTTTTGTGTTTCTTCCTCAGGACACCCTGGCTACAGAAATGTATAACTTCATCTCAAAAGAAGCTGAGCACAGTCAGAAGTTGTTAGTGGTAAGTAAACCATCACCAACATATAAAATAGGACTTCAACCCATTTCCCTTTTCTTAGTATTAAACAAGACTATTTGCTTTTATATCATGTCCCATCACAGTTTTAGGTCTCCTGAGACAAAGTGTTAATGGGCCAGTAGCATGCTAGGATGAAGGGCTACCAAGTTTGTTCAAATGAATGACCTTAACCTAATTTCAAAGTCACAGAGGTCATCTGTATTAAAAATCTGTAAACAACTTCTCAATATCAAAATGACCCAGAGTCAGGATATTGGGCCAGTAGAATGCTGGGATGAAGATCTTCAAAGTTTGTTCAAATGAATGACCTTGAACTATTTTCAAGTCACTGGGGTCAAATATGCTAAACTACCAAAACAGACAAGGTTATCAGTTCTGTTTAATTGAAATCAAACTTAGAAGCAATAAAAACTTTGTAAGTATGCTTATATCAGTTCTGTCTGCCCCAAATCTGGGACTGATGGACAGGTTCTAAGACCATTACGGCCCATGGGCATCTAATTCTTTATATTTTTTTTTCTTCTATTTTTTTTTTTTGGCGGCTGGGGTGGGGAGAGATCATATGGTGTTTCTCAAGTCCCTCCTATCATGTTATGTTACATTCTGAATCAATCTCATGTCATGAAAACCTCTCAATAGATTTGGTTCATATTTCACTTTGTTTTGAAAAGAAATCTACTTCATGAAACGGTAAAGTTACAAGACTTTTTTTGCCCCCACTTTAATTTATAACTTGTTTGATGATTTATGTGTAAACTTAAGTATCAAATACTGTTGTTGGCACACATATAACAAATAGAAAACCATTTCATATTTATTTGATGTGAAATGGTTGTTTAAAGATGCTTTAAGGGTTGAAAAAGAAATAAATTTGTGGTTGAGATAGAAGATCTGTAAAGTGTCAGAGCGTCTGTTTAATGTGCATGTTGTATTTCCTTAGTTAATGGAAACCCAGGCGGAATACCATAGGAAAGCATTGGAAATTGTCAAGAAGATGTTACCAAAGATGAAGGAGGCACTAGGTATAACTCTGTCTTTATTTCTATTTTGTTCATCGTCATCATTGTCGTCGTCGTCGTTGTCATCATCATCGTCATCATCGTTGTCATCATCATCATTATTCACATACACATACCTCACAGACATTCACATACATGCACATTTTAAAGTTGAAAAGAGAGAAGCGGGAGAGAGAGATATTTGAAATTCAATGCAGTATAGAAGAACAAAGTGAATTAGTTCTTTAAAATAAATGTATATATAATCATGGTAAATATGAATGATCTTGCTGTTATTTTACTCACTGTTTCACCATAAATAATATTTCTGACCATGTTTTTGTTTCTTCTAGAATGTAATCCACATAAACCAGTGTTTGGAACGACATTAGATGAGCATTTACGAGTGACAGGTCGGGATATCGCTCTGCCTTTAGAGGCCTGTGTTCTCACACTGTTGGAAACAGGGGTTGAGGAAGAGGTATGTTGTGAAGTGGGGAAAACAGGTTGGAAGAAAATGTTTGTTGTGGTGTGGTTGTGATATTGGGTAAATGGTGTGGCTGTGTTATTGGGTAAATGGTGTGGCTGTGTTATTGGGTAAATAGTGTGGCTGTGTTATTGGGTAAATGGTGTGGCTGTGTTATTGGGTAAATGGTGTGGCTGTATTATTGGGTAAATGGTGTGGTTGTGATATTGGGTAAATGGTGTGGCTGTGTTATTGGGTAAATGGTGTGGCTGTGTTATTGGGTAAATGGTGTGGCTGTGTTATTGGGTAAATGGTGTGGCTGTGTTATTGGGTAAATGGTGTGGCTGTGTTATTGGGTAAATGGTGTGGCTGTGATATTGGGTAAATGGTGTGGCTGTGTTATTGGGTAAATGGTGTGGCTGTGTTATTGGGTAAATGGTGTGGCTGTGTTATTGGGTAAATGGTGTGGCTGTGTTATTGGGTAAACAAGTGTTGATAAAGAGGTTTGTTGTGTTGTTGGGTTAACTGGGTTGATGAAGAAGTATGTATGTGATCGCAGGGTAAATTTAGGGTTGATGAATAGTAGTTGTGTTGTGAAGTAGGGTAAACAGATTTGAAGAAGATGTATCTTTGTGTGCATTTGGAGGGGGGTAAATGAGGTTTGATGAAGAGGTATATTGTGAAGTGGAGTAAACAGGGTTGATGAAGAGATATGTTGTAATGAGGGTTAAACAGGGATTGATGAACAGCTATATTGTTAAGTAGGGTAAACAGAGGTTGATGAAGAGATACATTATGTTGTTGGATAAACAAGGATTAGTGAAGAGGTATGTGGGGGTAACCAGCATTGATGAAGAGATATGTGATATGTTGTTGGATAAACAGGGTTGATAAAGAGTTATACTGAAGAGATTTGTTGTGGTTTGGGGTAAAAAAGGGGTTACTGAAGAGGTTTGTTATGATGTGGGGTAAACAGGATGATGATGAAATTTGTTATGATGTAGGGTAAACAGGGGTTGATGATGAAATTTGTTATGATGTTGGGTTAACAGGATGATGATAAAATTTGTTATGATGTAGGGTAAACAGGTGTTGATGAAGAGGTATGTTATGATGTGGGGTAAACAAGGGTTGATGGAAAGGTATTTTTTCAGTGGTTGGTTAGCAGAGGATAATGAAGTGGTTTATTGTGATACGTGAACAGAAAAAGTTAATAAAGACATTTTAGTTTGTATTTCTGAGCTGGAGAGATATTCACTTTTTAACTGTATTTAGATGAGCTTTCTCAAGTTTAAAATTAAGAGGAATTGATTGCTAAATAAATGTCAGCTCATGTGCAGAGTAAATGAATATAATTGACTGCTTGTTTATCCATCGTATTTACAATCGGAAATGTTTTTCATATTTCAGGGATTATTTAGAATAGCAGGAATGGCTTCTCGGGTGAAGAAATTAAAAGTAAGTATAACATTTCAGTGTATAACAGTCAAGAGAACAACAGTAGTAAGTTCTCTTATCAAGGTAATTTTAACTGAAAACAGACATAGACATTTTGAAATGACCTTGTAGAGACTTGTCACAGGAGATTGATCAGGTGTATATTTGTCACAAGTGACAGACTCTGTACAGACCTTTTACTTTGTCACATGTGACTGAACCTAAATAGGCATGTTACTTTTGTCACTGGTGGCTAACTCTGAACAAACTTATTTGTATGTCACAGGTGACTGACTTTGTATTTACTAGGGGGTTGTAATAGTTCAGTTGGTAAGAGTGTTGGCCTATGTTGCCTATGATGAAGGTCCTTCACTCTGATTGCTCTGGACAGCATCCAAGTTGTTGTTCAGTGAGGTAGCCACCAGCTACTACCAGGAGACCCCACCTCATAACAACCCCAGCTGCTCAAATGGGCCTGTACAGACCTGTGTTGTTGCTTTGTCACAAATGATTGACTCTGTACAGACCTGTGGTGTTGCTTTGTCACAAATGATTGACTCTGTACAGACCTGTGGTGTTGCTTTGTCACAAATAATTGACTTTGTACATACCTGTAACTTCGTCATAAGTGACCGCCTCTTTTCAAACCTGTTACCTTGTTACAAGTGAAAAAGCTGTACAGACCAGTGGTGTTGCTTTGTCACAGGTGATTGACTCTGTACAGACCTGTGGTGTTGCTTTGTCGCAAATGATTGACTCTTTTCAAACCTGTTACCTTGTTACAAGTGAAAAGGCTGTACAGACCTGTAACTTTGTCACAGATGACTGACCAGCAGAACTGATACCTTGTCACAAGTGACACACCCTGTGCAGGTTGCTTTGTGACAAGTGATCAAGTGATTGACCCAGTACAGATTTATTTTATTTTCAATCCTGGCTTAGTATTCATTCTTCGGTGGGAATACAATACTTTTACCATACCATTAGTACTCTATGAATTAGGACAGGACAGATGCTGTAACTAACCAAGCTACCTTGGCATTGTCAATAAAGAAAGATCTGTCATACATTCTACAAAGTATGATTGTCAAATATTTCATAGTTTGGTGCATATAAAGCCACTAACAGGATAACACGATTAAAGACAGTGTGCAGTTAAAACATCTTACATGCCATTGTCATCATACACCAGGTCTGGTGCAGCTTCTAGTGACATGTAAACCCATTCATCACCCTCATTTGGTATGATTGGTGTTTTGGAGTTCATACAATCAATGAATTTGGCATATCAGAGAGAAAATTAAACTCTTAACATTTTATATTCTGCTATGTTTTATAATCTACACTTGGATAACCTAACAAGTTTGTTTTGTTGTAGAAATCCTTTGATGCTGGTGTGATTGACATGGAGGAGTACAGTTTGGATCCTCATTCTGTAGCAGGTAAGAGGCTGACCTGTTTGCAGCAGTTAAGGGCATTTGTTGCCTGTTAAGACTGTTAAGCAGTTCATAAATATGCTAAGGTAGTGACACAACTATCAGCTTAATGAAATTATCAAAATGTTTGGTTTTTGTGTATTGAGAAGGTATATGATTGTGGATTAGTATTTAACGATAACAGTAAAATGGTTTTACAAAGAATTGCTAGAGTAACAAATTGTCTGTTTAATTTAGTGAATGTATGTTTATCATTAGGTGAACTGTTTATTTTGATGTGTATTGAAGATTGTAGAAGCAGTTACTGCAGAGGCAACGTGTAAGTGTGCTGAAGTGTTTAAGTTAAGTGTGTGGTCAGCAGAAGTATATGGTTAAGTTAACTAAACAGTTAGTATCATAATTTAACTAGTGTAAGGTGTACACATTTGTGTAAAACATTCTAAAACAGTTAATTTGGTGTGTGTCTAGATATGTTGGAATAGTTGATATTGTCTTTAGGTGTGCTGAAGCAGTACCTAAGGGAAATGGCTGAACCTCTTCTGACCTACCAGCTGTACCAGGAATTCCTTCAAGCAGCACAAATGTAAGTTATGTTGCATTTAGTACTTTGTAGCATTAAGTTCCTTATGCTTCATCTGATAAGTACATCTCTACAATGATGTAGATCACAATTGTTTTTAAAGACCATTATATTATTAGTATTTGGAAAAAATAACAGACAAATAGAAAAAGATGTTCATGAGTTTAGCAGGACTCCATTTATCAAGCTCAAATTGTGTGATTGACATTGTAGCCTTCCAACTACTGTACATGTACAGTAAAGATTGTCTTATGTATGAAGGATCAATATCTGACCTCTATGTCTTATGTATGAAGGATCAATATCTGACCTCTATGTCTTATGTATGAAGGATCAATATCTGACCTCTATGTCTTATGTATGAAGGATCAATATCTGACCTCTATGTCTTATGTATGAAGGATCAATATCTGACCTCTATGTCTTATGTATGAAGGATCAATATCTGACCTCTATAAGGTGTCCTAAAGCTGTCAACTCGTTCAATTGTCTTCACTATTTAACCACCATGTGTCAGCCACCATGTGATATACATGTGACACCAGTACTTATGACCTTAGTCTGACCTCTGTAACCTGTGCCATCTCTGCTTTCTGTGGTATATTTTTCAACCCTTACACTTACAGGCCCCAGGACCAGAGATTACAGGCTTTGTGGACATCCATACATAACCTTCCAGAACACAACTATAACAACTTTAGGTTTGTCTTATGTTTTAGTAGATGTGTTAACCTGAAGGTAAACCTAGTGCTGTTGATATAATACAATAAGCCCGCACCTGGTAATAAACCCACCCACATCTGTTAGATGAATTTGCTAGCAAATACTGTTTCATTGTCCTGCAATAAGCCCACTCTGGCTTTTCGTTAATTTTCTGTATTGGTCCACAGGACTTATTACATAATACATACTAACTATAGAATAATTAATGAATGCCTGTTGTCCACAGAACATCGTGACTGCCATGTTGGGTACAGGTAACATGTGGGGTACCAAGGTATATTTTTCCTTAAAATAATAGAAAGTAATATAATTAGTTTGCATCAAAGTTCCCTCATATAAAACTACATAGAAGTGAGATTTGTTCGTATGCTAATACAAATACCCATGAAGATAATTTCCCCATGATTAACAAGAAGCATTAGTTTGAAGTTTGGGTCTGATTGCTATGCTGTTTATATGTTTGTTGTATAAATCCTCTAATCATACATTTATTTATTGATTTGCTGGAATCCAATGTTTATTGTTTTATTTTGTAGGTATCTTATTAAATTTCTGGCACTTTTAGCTTCCAAGAGTGATGTGAACAAGATGACTGCCAGTAACATATCAATTGTGATAGGACCAAATCTGTTATGGTCCGAGGGAGATAATGGGTGAGTAGTCGTAGTCCAAGGGAGATAATTGGTGAGTAGTTGTAGACAAGGGAGATAATTGGTGAGTAGTTGTGGTCCAAGGGAGATAATGGGTGAGTAGTTGTAGTCCAAGGGAGATAATGGGTAAGTAGTTGTGGTTCGAGGGAGATAATGGGTGAGTAGTTGTGGTCTGAGGGAGATAATGGGTGAGTAGTTGTGGTCTGAGGGAGATAATGGGTGAGTAGTTGTGGTCTGAGGGAGATAATGGGTGAGTAGTTGTGGTCCGAGAGAGATACTTGGTAAGTAGTTGTAGTCCAAGGGAGATAATGGATGTATAGTTGTAGAACCTAACTGCTTATGGTCCCAGGGAGATAAACAGAAAAGATCACCTTTGTGTTGATTTATCTCAGTTAAGGGCTCACATTCTCTAATGAAATCTTATTCTTGACTAAACTGAGATGGAGATGATACAGAATATCAGCCAGAATTAAGTTGATCTCCATACACTATCTTTTACCTTAGTGTAAATAAGGTTACTGTGTATAGCCGAAAAAGTTGGTTCATTCATTACTAATTCATACACTACATACCACAGTACTAACACACTTTCCTTTTGTCATTTGTGAATGACTCAAACCTTCTACTGGTTGTGTTATAAGAACTTCTGTTCTATTAACAATATCTGAAGAAAATATTTCGAAAGAGGTAATGGGACTTTTTAACTTTTCTAATGGCATAATCCCATGTTTACCTTATGGTCACCCTAATGTTGACCTTGTATTTATCTGTGGTTTTTCAGGCCCAACATGTTGACCAGTGGGACCATGAGTAATCTGGTGGAGTCCATTATTTCTCATGCTAATTGGTTTTTCCCAGAAGGTAAGTCAAGGTCTCTCTCTCTTTCTGTCATAGATTGATTTATCATAGATTGATCTATCATAGATTGATTTATCATAGATTTATTTATTTCCATTTTTCCATTGCTTTTTTTCTGATGAAAAGTTAAAACTTTTGTAAATAGTGCTTTATTCTGTTTATTATTTGTACTGTGTCTTATTTTGGTTCTTATTTTATCATTTGCCTATAGACATGAATGTATTTTCTAGCCTAAATGAGTTGGATCACCATCAGGTATGAGAATATTAAATATTAAGCGGCAGGTTTATCGAAGTTAAACAGTCTACTTTTCTGATTACACAGAAATACATTTTAGAAATGGGTGATGTTTTGATAATGTTTTATGTAAAGTGATATTTCGTTGGTGCAGAAGCCAGATACAGCTCCCCAATTAAAGAGGATGTTGTTAGGGCTGTTCATGCTAATAAGTCCTTTATACATGTATAATATGTTGGACACAGCTGTACATGTCAGCTGACCAGGATTTCACTAAAGCTGATAATTATCTGTATAGCAAATAAAGCTATAGCTACACATTGTGGTACAAAGATGTTGTCTGCAAAATATTCTTTTGTCTGTACAACTGGACAATGGTAGTAAGCATATATGTACAACTTGACAGTGTCATTAAAAATGTCTGTCTGTTGTCTGTACAACTGACCAGCATCAGTTGACTTGTGTCTGTTGTTTGTACAACTGTACGACATCAGTAAACATGGTTGTCTGTTGTCTTTAGAACTGTACAACATCAGTAAACATGTCCGTCGTCTGTACAACTGTATGCCATCAGTATACATGTCTGTCTGTTGTCTGTTCAACTGCACAATATCAGTAAACATGACTGTCTATGGTCTATACAACTTCAGTGAACATGTCTGTCTGTTGTCTGTACAACCGAATAGCATCAGTAAATGTTGTCTGTACAACTGTACAATGTTGATAAACATGTCTGTCTGTTGTCTTTACAACTAGATAATACCAGTAATTTGAGATTGTCAGTTAACATGTTTGTCTTTGTTCTATATCATGTTAAATATTTTGTTTGTTTATTAAATTGAGATCCAAGTCAGGCTACCTTATTAAATAATGGTTACATTGCAGGAGCTATGCTTGGAATGATAAAACATCGATTGTTGAACTGATATTGTTTAATTTGTGATTGATTGTATTGTATAATTTCATTAATTTAACATAATTAAACATGCTTTAATGCATATTCTAGCAACAACATTTGACTAAAACAAACAACAGGATTTTCTCTAATTGTTGAAAAAAACCATCATGATTCTAATTGATCATTTCCATTGAGCATGCAACCATGCTTCCCTTTCGGACATGCCAAGCCCTTACCCGTTCCATCCCACCTCTGATTATCCCTCCAGCTCCCTTCCACATCCTGTCATTGACCAGGCTGTTATGTGTTTCAGTGACATCTTGATAACTTGTAGAGGCTGATTTGGACATCATGATTTATTCATGTCAATCATATCCAAGACAATATAACACATATTCACAACTTGACCCATATCATTAATTGTTTCTATATATCGTACAGACTTCACCCATCACACAGGCCAGCATCAGATTTACGTAAACCTGTTTCCTTGTTATCATTTGTATTTCCATTCTGAAAGATTTCTTACAGTTTTAACTTTAGAAATGTTTTTATAAGAGATTCTAGAGAGTAGTATAGCTGTAGACACACCCTTTGAGAAAAAGTAGCCGTTTGCCAATGTTTGTCTAAGACCCTGTATCAGAGAAAGAATGAATGTGAACCACAGTCCTCCTGGTATGTTAAGTATTCAGCTGATACAGTTCTACTCTCTCAAATAAACTAAGATCATTTTTGGGTGATTATACTGTTGTCAATCTACCCTATCTTTGTGCTACCCTTGATAGACCAGATAATTAACAGTCTTAGATGTATATGTCATCAGAGTCATTTATAGATTTAGTTTGAGAATTATACACTGTATGGAGGGACTGTAGCCATTTATAGATTTAGTTTGAGAATTACACACTGTATGGAGGGACTGTAGTCATTTATAGATTTAGTTTGATAATTATACACTGTATTGAAGGGCTGCTGTCTCACAAACACTATGATTTATTACATTTAAGAGTGCGAATAAAAAATACTCTACAGTGAATATCTCCTACACCATGACAGATGTACATTACCACTGATTTAGTATATAGACCCTATGTATACATGCGTAGTACCATTTAGCAGTAGATGCCTAAGCCTTTCCTTTGTGTTGCTCCCTTTGATTCAGTTTCTTTGATTGATCTTATTTTTCTTTCATCTAGTTTGATTTTCTGTAGATTTTATTTTGAATGATACCTATCCTGGTATGTATTATTTTTTGTTTTATTTTCCAAAAGTGATACAGTGTTATACATTTTCAGAGATATCTTTTTGATGATATGTTAAGGTAGATCATAAGTGTCAAATGAACTTTGCCATATGAAGATCATTCACTCAAGTTTATTTAATTCATGTGTAGTATCTTTTGAAGAGCTCAAATCTTTATCAACTAATTTATTACCATATATGGAGCTTTGTCTTACAAACTAAGAATTTACATGTGTGAAGCTTTGTCTGACAAACAAGCTAAGAATTTACATGTGGAGCTTGAATCATATGAGCCATATGTTATGTGAGGACCATTAAATAAACTAAATAAAGAAAAAAGTCAACTAAGATCTGATTGATTAAGACTTTTCCCCCATTCTTTTCACTGCACAATAGATGTGAAATTACCAAATCAAACCAATTTGTTTTGACTGCTGAAGTGAAAAAAAATTATGTAATGTAGTTTGACAAAACGATTTGTGTGGTGAAAGGTCCTTTAACTTGGTGTTGTTTTGAGTCCCTACCTTCAGTGCTATGTTGGGTATCAGGCATGTTCATTGTCACCCATTAACTTGTACCGCTCGCAGTATTAACACCAAGTAGTGCACATGCAGTCACCCTTGTACTTGCTGCATGTACACATAGAGGAATATGACTAAAACTTTGACATGTGGACTGTAACAAGTTTAACTATGACATTTAAAGACCAGGTAACCTAACACAAACATAATGTCCATGTTAGTACCAGCATTTTTACACCACTTATTCTTTGTCACCTTTTGAACAGCTATAGATTTTCAACAAACTACAAGGGGAACAGCTCCTCCCAGAAAACTGAAGAATTCAGAAGAGACTGAGCCTGCGCCCCAGCAGTCGGACACACCCTCACAGTCCTCCGGAGGGAGGGCTTGTGACACAGCGTACATGACAGCTTCTGGGGGGATTTCATCACGGGGCTCTGATACTTCCTCTCAGGACCGCTTGTCCAGTGTGGGCAGTAGTGAGGTGATAGCGGAGAGCACCTCCCCCTCTTTTCACTCGGTGTCAAGTACGGAGGACGACATTGTACATAGCAACGACATGACATGTCAGGGTCAAGGTGATGGTTATCAGACCGTGTATGCTAGTGGTCGTAGACAAGTGGGTGCACTGCCACCACAGAGTAGCTTCTCCTCTGTTCGTTTGTATACTAACCCACCAGCATTACGATTTAACCCACAGGACATAGCCAAGTCATCGCCACGCTCCGACAGTAATTCTAGTCGCTCTTCTACTCCCCCGACTCCCAAGTCGGGAGGCAGTGTCCACTCTGATGTGTACAGCACTGTGTTCGCTTTACATTCCTTGGGTGATGGGAACAGTAATAAGGGGCCATCTGAGTACCTCAACAAAGTGCGGGCATTATGGGATGGCCACATGCAGTACAACAAGCGCCCCCTGTCCACTGGTGGCATAACTAACCCTATCGGAGGTGGCAGCAGGGTAACCGATTACCAGAGGCGTTCCCTTGGGCAAGGTCAGACCAAACCTAACCATTAGTTTCACTCTTGTACTGTTCAAAGTTATAGCTTGTTATTGCTGATGATTCAATCTTCTGTATTGGCCCATGCTCTTTAAACTTCAGTTGCAAATTTTTGCAGATATTTTATTTTCTTTAATAACTTTGCTAAGTAAAATTTCCTGTGAAATGTTGTCTGAAACCTACATATCTGTTAAAACTGTTAACCATTTCATGCTTTTCACTTCTAACCAACATAACAAAATAACATTTCACAAGAGGTTCCTACTTAACAAACCAAATTGATTTTCTGTTCTAATGTTTGTGAATGGCCCTTCTATGCTGCCAAAGCTCTGTTTGGTAACATAAGCCCCTTGTCTGTGTGGGGGCTGCCCTGGCCTCCTCACCCCTCTGCCACCCCTGTGCTGCTTGGACCACTAACAACGTGTGTAGTGCCTCTGACAGGAACACCCAGGGAGGGCATGGTCCCCTCACCTCATGTTGTCTTAATGTCCACCATATAGGTATGAATTGATGCATGGGCAACATGATTTACATTTCTTTTTTAATTGTCCTCAGATTTTTTAGTTACTTGAGTTTTAATGTGTATTGCACCAATGCATGGGTGTCCGATTTGTGGTGAGATATTTTTGTATTTTTTATTTCATTATAATTTTGGCATGTTATCGCTATGAATGTGAAAAAAAATGTGCCATGAATAAAAACAAAGGTGATAAAAGATGACTTGATTATTTTTATTTTTATTGGTAGATTAGAGTATGAGTGTTGTACTGGTATAATATGCCTGATAGATTGGGAATGTGAATATGGTCATTTAGTTAGGTTTATAACATATGCATCTGTGACCAGAACAAAACTGCTGGTTTGGGGCGGCAACGTTTTCTTTTCTTCTTTTCATTTTTTTATTTTTAACAAATGTTTCTTTAAGTCTTTCCTATGAGTGATTCATTTCCAGTTTGTATGTGGGATTCATGCAAGAAAATTCTCAAATTCAAAATATTCTCAAAATGTTCTTGATAAGAACTCCTGGTACAATCACTTTGAAAATCTTTTAGGCATTCTTGAGCTCTTGAATATCTTGTAAACTACACTAGACCCTGTCAACACTAAGTTCTGTCTCATTGTTATTGCAGTGAGTTCTCTTTACAGGTATACAAAGAGGACATACGTATCAGCTCAGAGATATCATTCTGCTATGACATAGGATCATTAAAAATTTTTTCATACTTTTTTTCCAATTATACGATTGTATGTATTCTTACCAACTGTGATATATCATGGTAATAAGTTTACTCCAGCTCGTTATAGTTATTACCTCATAATTCTGTTTCAATAAATCTGCCTCTTCATCACAGTCAACCTGCCCCTGTCTCACCCAGCCTGCTCCTGTCTCAATCAACTTACTTCCTGTTTCTATCACCTTGTCCCCCTTGTCACAGACAGCCTGACTTCTTGTCAGTCATCATGAAATTTGAAAGTGTTTCTCCTATTTCATCAAGGTTGTGTGCATGTTTGATTTCTGTCCGATGCTTCCAACAGTTCTGAATGCTACCTATTTTATTGGTCCAGTAAATATCGTATAACCAATCAGTCATATAGTGTATTACAAGTATATACTTGTTAGCTGGTATCATATTACATAACCTTTTGTAATACACTGGATATTGTAATCAGCATCCAATTTATATACAATTGATATCAACCAGAATACAGTATATTTGATACATGAATACTGATATATTTCTACTTCATTTTGTGATAATTATAGATGTGGATATTTCTATTGCAGTGTATGATGTACAATAATAACAGATATTGATATTTCTATAGCAGTGTAATGTGTATTATTATCATACAATAAGTAGGATCATTCTACTGTATGGTAATGTATATACATTGGCTGTGTTTTTCAATTAGTGATGGTTTGACAGCGTGTGGTGGTTATATATACTTTAGTATGTACTGTAATTACTCCTATTATCTGCTTGCTGATTGTTTAAATATATTTATTACATTTGTAGTGTATATGCCTTGTTTTCAGACATTTTAAATGTAGAATAATCCTTGATTTTATTTATCTATTTTTCCTGAGAAGAAGAAAATGTTTAAGCAGCATCAGTGCCTCATTTAGATAACAGATGTTGACCTAGACAGGAGCACTTTTCCTATGTCATGCAATTCCTGTACAATTATTTATGTGTTTATAAAGATAGTCTAACAATCAAATGCAAGGTGGGGGGGGGATGAAAAATCAGTTTCTGTACAAAAAAAAGAACTGCGTCAAATTCTTATTTTCTAGAGTTATTTCTCCTGATGATTTGATCAAGAGTTATTGCCCCTGATGATTTGGTCAATACTTATGTACATGACAGCTGGTAGCCAGTGAGATAGACTGTAGATGTCTCGGCCATTTCACACTTATTATATGGGGTAGTAAATTTCATTGTGTGTACATGATACGATATGGCGACAACAGGACAGTTTTTAATGTGAAAGAGAAACTGATGAAAACACCGATTGTTTGTAATTATATATCCTTTAACACAGATAGTTGGTATTGTACATGCATGGCCAGGCCGTACAAATATCACTTTATATTTTTGCATTTTGAGATGATCTGTAAAAATTATTTCTTCGAAATTACATGTTTGTAGTATAAATGTATTGTTAAAATTCTTTGCCATCAAAAAGTATAAATGCTTCTTTAATTTCACAATGTTATACAGACTGATATACAGTGACCAGATGTTTAGTTTGAAATTGAGGATAGATGAAGTTACCAAGAGAGTATTTAGGAATGTTAGAAAGCATGGATGGATATTTGATGTGTTGAGAAGGACTGATATACATGTGCATTTTTAAGTGTATTTTCTATTGGTGATGGTAAATTTACTTTTAAGGATTTTCACACGATGGCGGGCTTTTCAAAATTAACTTTTGTTTAAGATCTCTATATACATGTACTGTATGTGGATGACTGATGCAAAGTTACCATCTTTGAATTCAGTATTAAAGAAGGTTACATATTATGAAATGTTAAAGCCATACAAGTCAAATTCACTACCTTGAGTGGGAAAGTGATTACCGAATTATGTGAGCAAATAAACGATAACGTTTAGTTAAAGTATGTGACATTTGCTGTTCGGTGTTAAGCTTCCTTTCAGGTGCCTCTGTGGTTAAGTGTTGTAGCACTGGATTTACAGGATTGGAGACTCAATGTTTAGAGTGTAGGATTATAGATTGTGGTGAAATCTTGAAATACAGACCATTTGTATGCAGAGAATTGAAAAGTATATATTCTCAAATCATATTGTTTTAATTTAAGTGGAAGTTTTAGGAAAAGCAAAGCTGTAGAAATAACTCTAGGTTCAACAGATACACCTAAATGTAGGGGTTAGGCTCCCCTGAAAACAGGCTGTAAATATCAGTGTTGATTATTTATCTTAGATATATAGATCCTGGGATGGGTGACTAGATACAGAGATTTGTCATTAGATACTGGGATGGGTGACTAGATACAGAGATTTGTCATTAGATACTGGGATGGGTGACTAGATACAGAAATTTGTCATTAGATACTGTGTTGGATGACTAGATACAGAGATTTGTCATTAGATACTGTGTTGGATGACTAGATACAGAGATTTGTCATTAGATACTGGGAGGATACAGAGATTTGTCATTAGATACTGTGTTGGATGACAGATTTGTCATTAGACTGTGTTTACAGAGATTTGTCATTAGATATATGTTGGATGGGTGACTAGATACAGAAATTTGTCATTAGATACTGTGTTGGATGACTAGATACAGAGATTTGTCATTAGATACTGTGTTGGATGACTAGATACAGAGATTTGTCATTAGATACTGGGATGGGTGACTAGATACAGAGATTTGTCATTAGATACTGTGTTGGATGACTAGATACAGAGATTTGTCATTAGATACTGTGTTGGATGACTAGATACAGAGATTTGTCATTAGATACTGTGTTGGATGACTAGATACAGAGATTTGTCATTAGATACTGGGATGGGTGACTAGATACAGAGATTCATCATAAGCTACTGGGATGCAATTTTAGTGTTTCATTAGGTCCTGGGATAAGCTTATATTGAGTGTGGTTAGAGACTGGCATTATTCTTTAGTATATGACAAGATACTGGAATGAGTCATTATTGAGTTATTGACACTGGGATGAGTCCTTAGTGAGTGATTAGATACTGGGATGAGTAGACACTGGAATGGTTTGTTAGTGACTATTAAGTCTTTACTGACTAGATACTGAGAAGAGTCATTAGGTAATTGGATTAGTCATTAGATACTTGGTTTTGTCAAATGCTAGAAGGAGTCAATGGATGCTCTGTGAGTTTGAGTTACTAGGTAATGGGATGAGTTACTAGGTACTGGTATGAGTTACTAGGTAATAGGATGAGTAACTAGGTACTGGTATGAGTTACTAGGTACTGGGATGAGTTACTAGGTACTGGTATGAGTTACTAGGTACTGGGATGAGTTACTAGGTACTGGTGTGAGTCACTGAATAATGAGTCACTAGATACTAATGTGATTCACAATTTACTCTAACACAACTAGTAGTAAACTTCACTAAACAGCAGTATTTTTATTCATTCACTGTTTCTCTTAGCTGTTATTGAATACTGTTATGGTTTAAGTTCCATAACTCAGCGAAATGGTTCTGAAACATTTCAGTACCTGATATATCCAGCACAAGCTTCCTGGGGTCTGATTGCATGTAATTATAATCATGAATATTACCATCCACACATTAACTCTTCTCTTTTCCCAGTAATGGTGATCAGCAACACTGCCAAGTGTGATAACATGGAGGATTTTAAATAATGTGTAACCTTGCTTTTGCAGAGGTGGACTTTGGTAACTATGCACTATATGCCTCCAGCAATGAGGGTCCATTGGAGGGAGAACATTCATCAGACCATGAGGGTTCCTTTTCCTCAGGGAACCAGGCATCCAGTACAACTGGGAGTCCACGTGTTAGCTTGACATCTCCCCACTCCCCTAATATGAACACCAGCACTTCCCCTTCAAGCACTACAGAAGAAAGCAACTCTGTAGGGCTAGCTGCCCCACTAGCTGAGAGGTAACTAACACTACAGATGGCTTACTCAAAGATTATAGTTCATTAAATGGGTGTTTAACTCATGTAGGTACTAGCTAGATATATAACCGAAACAGTCTGCTTAGACTGTGAGTCTAACCAGATATTGTTAATCCGCAGTCTTCATTGCTGGAATATTTCTAACAGGTAAATACTAGGAAGGAAGTGCAAGAATATTTTGTTATGGCATGGACAATTAGTGGTGACAAGGCCATATAACAGAATCTTTATAGGACAGGTAAATTGATGTCAATATTGGTTTTGTCAGTTATTGAGCATCATGCTAGAATAGTTGTAAGTATGTTATAGATGTACCTCTGGTAAAGTTAACATTTGGTATGGAGTGCTGGTCTAATTTATTTATAGCAAAGGTAAATATTCAATGGAAGGGTGGTACAACTGTTTTATAGTATTGAAATTTTTCTGTATTCTTCTGAATTTAATATGACTTTTCAGCATGCCTTTGATGAAATATGAACATTATATTCACTAATTTCTCTAAACTAAGACTGGTTTATATGAAATGTATACAGTATGGATTGGTACTAAGCTCTATTGGAAATTTTGAAATTTTGAAATTTAATCTTTGCTAATGCTGTTCTCTTCTTTGATGTGAATTATTTCCTGACAGTGTACTCCTGGCTTTAACATTCAATTAACTTAACATATTATTCACTTCAGTGTTGTATTTGAGATAATTTCTGCAAATTTTCCCCAGTGAACAAACCAGTCCTAAAATCCAGAGACGTGCAACAAGGAAACCAGCCCCTCCTCCTCCACCCAACAGACCATTCTCTGTAGCTGTGACAGCCTCTGTCACTAAACCAGTCCAGTATCAAACCTGGCCCAGACAGGGTGGAGTTGTTGAGCCAGAGAATGCAGGTGGGGAGGAGACATCAGACAGAATCAAGGCTCCCCCTGAAAGGCCATCTATTCCTCCAGAGAAACCAAGCCATGCTCCACACCGGTCATCCACCATATCTCACAGTCACTCTGAGCGTCCTTCGATGCCCCCACCAGACCGACCAAAGATACCGCCCCCGATGGCTCCCATGCATCAACGGTCAGCCTCGACAGGAAGTCCTAACTCAATATTAGTGACATCTTTAGGGGACAGCACCTCCCCACAGAATGGACAAGGTAGTCTGTCATCCTCCAAAGCTGCACAAGACTTGACATCAATAGGTGATCATCCACAGATATCTTCTTCACATGGGTCTGGTCCCTTACTAACCTCCCAGTATAACCAGCTTCCGCAGCCTGTAGACCCAACACCCATCTCTAATCGCTTGAGTTGCCAAGTTACTGCGCGTCCTGTGCCTGCCCGCCCTTCTCCACCACCCCCACTGGCTTCCAATGAAAAGACAGAGGACACCAAACTTTAGACTTTTGTCCATAGCTCCATAGACCTTGCCTTTGTCATGACAGAGGGCATGGTGAATGGCATGGCAAACAATTTGATTGGTCAAAACCTTCAATCAAAAATACTTCATGCATGTTTGTATTAATATTTCTGCATGGGAAGCATGACATTAACAAAAGGAGGATGTTGTTCCTGTTCCTATCAGTTTGTAGTGTCAGTATAGCCACTGTCACTCTAGTAGGGTGGCAAGTGACCATTATCGCCCAATACAACAGCTAACTATACAGCACTCTAATCAGTAACATGATCAAGTCTGTTTCAAAGTTATTGAAATATGATACTGTTATTTGTAATTGAACTTGTTTTGTAACTCTCAATTAGCTCCTTGAAGTATAGTAATGTGTATGATGAAGTTAGAAAGTAGCATTTACCTCCCTTTAATATATCCATGTTGTAAGACTTCAAGCGAAATGTGATATAAATAAGATACAAGTCACTTGTGCTTACCGTAAGGTGCTTATAGTGTATTATTGTGGCTCTTTATCATTTATACGTAGTATCTGGCGGCAGTCATTTATACTTAATATATTGTCTCGCTACAGGTACCTAGTATCTCAATTAGTCATTTACATAGTGGAATCATCTTATATTCATATAATTGATTGTTTACAGTAAAATGTTACTTCCAAGCAACTATTTTGTATAGAATCTAATGTCCTTTAAGCTAATTGAATCCTAGTGCTTTTCTCTGTACTTGTCTTAGACCATGGTCATGTTTCTGAAAACCAAATTTGCAGAGATGTTACTATACTAATATTATGACTGTTATAAACAGTTGATTTTGGGTTATATGTAGAGTTAATTTATGTGATATTTTTTTCTTTATGCATATGTTTTTTAGTTAATATTTCAGAAGTTTTCTTCAAATTTTTGTTCTTTCTATTAACTTCATTCATCAGGACACAAGTTACACAAGTTACAAATATCATGTGAATGAAAATTTGTGTCCTGAAGAATTTTGATAATTTTAGGAGCTGGTTGGTTCTGTAGCTGTAACATTGATTATGTTTACCCTGTATGTTAGTAATGTAATTGAAATAGAAATATTTATATTCTATCAATGAAATCAAAAGTTTCAGATATTTATATTTATAGAGTCTGAGGGATATTTTATGACTAGATAAGTATAAATATATCATGTATCCGTGCTTCTTTGCCTCAGGACTAGTTTCTTTTGTCCAATGTCTGTTTTATTGGAAGAAAATTGGGCTACTGTGTTTTGTTATTGCATAGGCTAAGCATGGTTTAATGCTTCTGTTGCAAAGGTTTTTAAATTTAACTCTATCCAACAAATCACTGTTCACTAGGTCTCATTGGTTGATAAATTCCAGACAAACAACCACAAATTACACATCAATAGGAATCCACGGCTCACTAGAGATCCATGTATAGGTGACACAAGCTTGTATGACAACATCACAACTCACTGTATAACTGATATCTCAAGGTCAAACTCCAGTCTACCACATATCTTACTCCATGTACAGTGATGATGGCCAGTGATACATCCTTTTTCCCTCCAAAAAATAAATGCTGTAAATTAAATGTTTTCTCCCAAAAACTATGAAATTCCAGCTTCATATGCAGCTTGTCTTTAGCTCAAAATTCTCTGATTTAAACATGATTTAAAAATTCAGTGGTTTGGTAGATTTCTTCAAAAGCAATTGCATATATATCTGTATATAATTATGCTGTTTTCTTGCTTATAAATTTGCTTCTTTGATCTTGGCATGTTAATTTTAATCACTCCATTGTCATTTAGATCACAGCATGTCTTTAATGCATTTTATTTTGTGTTGTTGAAGACAATATACTACCGCATTTGTGTGTGATTATGCCTACCTAAACTCATGTTCAGGACTGCTAGTGTTACATTCAGGGGAGATAACAATTTTATTTTGTGTATATAAGAAACAAATAGGGAGAGATAACTATTGACTTTGGAAACAAGTAGGGGGAGATAACCATTGATTTGGTTGGTCATATAAATAAAGAGATGAGTAGGGAGAGATGACCAATATCATGAAGGTGCCATAAACAGTTTGAATTGAGAACATAAAATAACATTTGTAAGGGGTGTGTGTGGAGCATATCATTTATATGTTAATGTAGGATTATTACAGTCTAACATTTAATAAGTGGGTCCCCATACCTTCAATATATGAAGTAACACAATCTGATTGTAGTTTATACTTCATAATTATTTATGCCAATGATAACACTTATATATTCTAACAAACTAGAAATATAACCATAACTCTAAGATATGAAAAATGGAAGTTGTATAGATAAATCTAAATCATATTATTTTAATATATTTATGGTACTCATACAATGAGTGTAAAACTTTCACTAATTAATACGGCACTTTATAAAGAAATGCATAAATAAATACATAGATAAATAAAGAAGGAATAGAAGACATTTGTAACAGTGAATTTAACATTGATAGCTGAAAACCTGAAACAAAATATACAGATAACAGCATTGAAATGAGTAGTTAAGAATTCTAAGTATCTAAATGTACATGTTAAAGTTGAAATCATATTTCAATAGTTTTTTGCCTACATTATTATTCAGTTCAACATTTTTTTATTCAGTTCGGCTTATTTTTCAGGAATTTCTTTCAAAAATGACTCTCCATAGCTTCCATCTGCCTTACATGGAGTTAAGATCTGTGATCTTAGCAGCTGGTAGCCGCCATTTTGTTTGGCATGTGATAACCATGTGACTGAAACCATGTGATCAGATTTTAGTGAGCAATGAACTGTTTGTGGGCTGAACTTGAATTTTTTGTGATGTGCAATAGCTGTGATGTCATGTGTTTAAAACATTGGGTACGTGATGTTTACATACAGAATATTAGCACAGAGACTTGACAAAGACATTGAAGGAGGGCTTCCATATTTCCTATGGAGTCAAGTTCAGAAATATTTTAACATTTCTGCCATATATTTATTCCTGTCATATTTTCATTGGTACCTTTTGGACCACCTGTACGCTCCACACTACAGGTCAAACAGAAGGAGTATTAGCAATATACCTTTTCATGTTGATAAAACAAATTTGTTCCGATGCATCCTTGAAAATGTGGGACAAACATGATAAAGATTGAGCTGTAAACTATCATACAATCCCCAGTAAAGCAGTTTTGACAAACTTACCCAGTGTTTGTGTGTACACAGCACCATTGATGTTTTCTATACATAACACATTTTGATTCAGTTACAGTCCTGTTGTATCACCAGCGTGATATGTCATTTTTAATTGTTTGGCATGCTTTTACACAAACACAAATTATATGAGCAATCAAACTTTGTCCCAATGAAAAAGAAAGCAAGGGACATGACAAGAGTCACCAGTGGTATATTGTAGTTACTCTATGATGTAAGTAACCTAATTTGTAGGATCAGGTAACTATATGACTAAGGGTTACTATTGCTATAGAGTTGTAGGATCAGGTGACTCTTTTACTCCAGTGGTACAGGGTTGTAGGATCAGGTGACTCTTTTACTCCAGTGATATAGGGTTGTAGGATAAGGTGACTCTTTTACTCCAGTGATATAGGGTTGTAGGATAAGGTGACTCTTTCACTCCAGTGATATAGGGTTGTAGGATCAGATGACTCTTTCTCCACTGATATAGGGTTGTAGGATCAGGTGACTCTTTCACTCCAGTGGTACAGGGTTGTAGGATCAGGTGACTCTTTCACTCCAGTGATATAGGGTTGTAGGATAAGGTGACTCTTTAACTCCAGTGATATAGGGTTGTAGGATCAGGTGACTCTTTCACTCCAGTGATATAGGGTTGTAGGATAAGGTGACTCTTTCACTCCAGTGATATAGGGTTGTAGGATCAGATGACTCTTTCTCCAGTGATATAGGGTTGTAGGATAACTCTTTCACTCCAGTGATATAGGGTTGTAGGATAAGGTGACTCTTTTACTCCAGTGATATAGGGTTGTAGGATCAGGTGACTCTTTTACTCCAGTGATATAGGGTTGTAGGATAAGGTGACTCTTTCACTCCAGTGATATAGGGTTGTAGGATCAGGTGACTCTTTTACTCCAGTGATATAGGGTGGTAGGATAAGGTGACTCTTTTACTCCAGTGATATAGGGTTGTAGGATAAGGTGACTCTTTTACTCCAGTGATATAGGGTTGTAGGATAAGGTGACTCTTTTACTCCAGTGATATAGGGTTGTAGGATAAGGTGACTCTTTTACTCCAGTGATATAGGGTTGTAGGATCAGGTGACTCTTTTACTCCATTGATATAGGGTTGTAGGATAAGGTGACTCTTTCACTCCAGTGATATAGGGTTGTAGGATCAGGTGACTCTTTCACTCCAGTGATATAGGGTTGTAGGATAAGGTGACTCTTTTACTCCAGTGATATAGGGTTGTAGGATAAGGTGACTCTTTTACTCCAGTGATATAGGGTTGTAGGATAAGGTGACTCTTTCACTCCAGTGATATAGGGTTGTAGGATCAGGTGACTCTTTCTCCAGTGATATAGGGTTGTAGGATCAGGTGACTCTTTCTCCAGTGATATAGGGTTGTAGGATCAGATGACTCTTTCTCCAGTGATATAGGGTTGTAGGATCATGTGACTCTTTTCTTCTAGTGATATAGGGTTGTCAGAACAGGTGACTCATTTACTCTAGTGATATAGGGTTGCCAGAACAGGTGACTCATTTACTCCCATGGTTTAGGGTTGTAGGACCAGGTGACCCTATGATGTCAGTAGTATAGGGTTGTAGGATCAGTTAACACCGACTCCAGTGGTATAGGGTTTAGAATCAGGTAACTCTGTGACTCCAAAGGTGACTCTATGACTCCAGAGGTATAGGGTTGTAGTATCAGACTACACTATGACTCATATGATATAGGGTTGTAGGATAAGGTGACCCTATGATGGTAGTGGTATTCTCATTTTAAGATAATCTTAAAAGCTAAGTGGTATGATTGCTACATTGAAATATGCTATCCTATAATTCATGACGGTTGATTGATTATGTTATCAAATTGACTTGGTGGAAAAGGTTTTATGAATAAATTATCTACAATCAAAGAGGTACAGGTGTTAGGATTAGATGATCCTACAATCCTAGATGTTGGTGAGCTAAATTTTTGTTTTTGTCTTAGTGATATAGACAATGTTTAGGAAAACCTACAATTCTGCCACCTGCTAAATGTTTTGTTCCCTTGTTATTTAACTTGTTGAAGTGCTAAAGTTTATATGTAGTTATTTGTAACAAGATACAAGTTTGCTACCTGCACTGATGTTACTAAACAAATTTACATACACCCTCTCCACATGGTAGCTGGGGCTTCCGTTTAATGGTAGTGGACCCAACAAACTGCATGTGACACCATACAGACACCTTGTAACCCTCAACTTAAAACTTATTTACTTACCAAGCAAGTCATATATCTGTATTATGTTTTGTTTCCGTAATAGTAGCATATCGACATGATGTGTTGAAACCTAAACATGATTCTCCCGAACAATGAAATGGGGGAGATGCAACAAAAAGGTTACTTATCAGTTAAATATATGTACTTAACTTAGCATTCTTTTCATTTTATGTTGTAAACAAAAAGCAAATACGAAAAGGAAAGAATCGTTGTGTTTGCATCATGCAGTTTGTTTTCTTTAATAATTGTGTGTTCGAAGATGTTTCCTTTTTACATTATTTTGATAATAACACAATAAAAACACAATGATAGTTATTGGATTGCCAGATTGCAGTGAAGGGTTATTGAAGTTGTAACCCAGATAACATCCAGGATAGAAGTTAATTTAACTTACTTCGTAATTGTTGTAAAATGAAAAATTCTTTCAACGAGAAGAAGGTATAAAATAGGTGGGTTGTATGTTTATTGTATAATGATACAACACTGTTAAACCAGTGACAAGTGTGAAGGTGTACAAGAGGTATTACATTACTGTATGATACAAGTATGAGAGGGTGTAAAAAGAAAGTTGAATGTGTAGGTAGGATCATTACCACAATCACAAACATGTGTAGATCACATACATTTTTGTTACTTTTGTGTATTATATTGTGAAATCTTATTGGAATTTAACATTTAGAAGCTTGCAATATTGTCCATATGTTTGTTAATCAATTATAATGTTGTCTTTACAGTTTTCAGAATATTTCTTTTCTAAATTCCTATTACAGATAAAGCACATTGTTTATATTCTCTATGCTTAGTGTTTTAATGCTTAGTGTTTATGACATAAATCAATGTCGCTCGACCATTAAATGAGAGGTACACTTCAATGTATAGAAAGGATGTTTTCGCTTGTAGTTCTTTCATTATATAAAACACTTTAATATACTGAAAACCAGATTTCAGATATATTACTTTGAAAACAGTCCTGTCATATCTTATAGAGAAATTGAGATATATAGTGTACCTTACAAAATAATACACTGTTGAGAACAAGGAATCACAGAGTATCAAAATGATTTTTACAAGATTTTTTTCTATTGATGTTACATGTAATTTCTTGTTAATGTTGTCTTCTTACCTTCAATTTAGAAAATGATGTCTCACAAACTGTTTTTGGTTGGTAAGACTCTGGAGATATGCAGATAAAATTATATAGTTGTTTTTATTCATTCCTGTTAAACTATGAACTGCTGGCCACAAATTTTGCTGTCAATAGTATATCGATGTTAAATCCATGTCAAATCATAGTCAAATTTTGCAATGTTTTTGTTTTCTTGTTTTTTGCAGTCATCAATATATCATTAGTTTACCATTTTTCGTTCATTGAGAAGTAAAGGAGTAATAATCATAATTTTTTCTCCCCAATATTGTGATACATTGAACATACTATCAGTATTGTTGTGAGTCATAGGCAGAAAAAGTCTATCAGAAGTTTATCAATACTGGAGTATATACAGTCTGTTAAATTTTGCGTACCAATAATATAATGAAGACACATTGATCATTCATCACAATATGCTTGTATAAGTTTTGTAAAGCTGTCTGTGCCTTTGCATTAATAATCATACATGGTGTGTACACAAGTAACATTTTGTCGTTATATCTAAGATATGTATTCTTCAGTAATTCCCAACATTGGCAGATGATATTGATGCTTGTTACTTCCCAAGAACATCATCGCACAGTAAAGTATTGACCTGAGATGTTTGAAGCTAGTAAAAAATTTTCTCCATTCTTTTCAGTCTACCAAGGATTGACTGTGTAAAATATCTCCAGAATTCCTGGTCATTTTTGCTTATCCAATGCATGTTAATATTTTTAGTCCAAAATTAGCTTACAAAAGACTTATTAATGCCAGAATGAAAGACGTCAGATGTTTATAGTTCTATGTTTGTATACAGCAGTGAAGTGGTTTAACACCATATTTTGTCAAAAGAATTTTGTTAACCTTTATCTCCACACTGAAATCTTATTAGGAATGATGTTAATGGTTTCTGCATTGTCACATGAAAAGGTCCTAAGGGAACTTGCTTGTGAGTATTGCTGCAGCAGGATGTGGTTGGAAATGTTGATATATTAATGTGATGTTGCTTGGGATAGTTCACATATTGACATACTGTTACTAGGAACAAATTGTGTTTTGTGTGACAGCTTTACTTTAAAAAACATGATACAAAGTGCATGAATTTATCTAGAAGCATTGATGATGTTTTTATATTATCAGTAGACAGTTGACTACTCTTATTGTATAATTTGTTATTTTTATGCCTTTTATAAAGTATGCTTTCATCATTCTTCATCAAGTCTTCAACTACAAGCTTGTCATTCTGATACATGTATTATTAATCAATAATATTATTGAACAAATCACATATAGTGCATTTCTCAAAGTAAACAATTAAAAAATGTTTTAGAAATATACATAAGATTTTGTGTTATATATACGTTGCATATCAGCAAACATAACAAGTTTGCACCTATGTAGAAATCTCACCCGAAATAGTGATCCAGAAACACACATTCCGTAATGAGACAAAGTAACCTCTACCTGACCTTGACCTCAAATACCAACAAGAGATCCCAGAAGGATCTTGGCACCCACCATTTGAGGATCTGTTTTCAGTTCTTTAAGATTTGTTTATTTCTTTTGTTTGTTACAGGTGTTGTAAATGTTCATGAACTGGTCTTCATTGAATGTACTCAATGATGGCACAAGATATTTTTATTAAGCACCTATCAGCAAATATCATTTGAAAAAGATCCCAAAGTATTATTGGATAGCAGTCAGTTACATGTGGATAATGGACAATATGCTTGTGCTGTATTACTGTCGACATCCAAGATGGCTGCCTGTGGGCCACCTTGATTTCAAATCAGTCCAAAAAAGGTACAAAGCACAACTAGGGACCAAGGAAAACCAATATCTATGAAATACCAGAAGGATCCATCCAGTACTTCCTCAGATATAGCAGTAACAAGATTTTACTCTCAAAATCCAAGATGGCTGCCTGTCAGCCATCTTGATTTCGGATCAGTCCAAAAAGGTATAATGCACAACTTGGAACCAAAGAGAACCTGCATATGAAATTTGAGAAAGATCCATCCAGTACTTTCCAAGAAATAGCAGTAACAAACTTTTACATCCAAAATCCAAGATGGCTGCCTGTCGGCCATCTTGAATTCGAATTAGTCCAAAAAAGGTACAATGCACAACTAGGGACCAAGGGAAAAATGCATATGAAATTTGAGGAAGATCCATCTGGTACTTTCTCAGAAATAGCGGTAACAACTTTTACTTCCAAAATCCAAGATGGCCACCTGTCGGCCATCTTGAATTCGAATCAGTCCAAAAAAGGTACAATGCACAACTAGGGACCAAGGGGAAACTGCATATGAAATTTGAGAAAGATCCATTCAGTACTTTTCCAGAAATAGCGGTAACAAACTTTTACATCCAAAATCCAAGATGGCCACCTGTCGGCCATCTTGAATGCGAATCAGTTCAAAAAAGGTACAATGCACAACTAGGGACCAAGGGGAACCTGCATATGAAATTTGAGAAAGATCCATCCAGTACTTTTCCAGAAATAGCGGTAACAAACTTTTACTTCCAAAATCCAAGATGGCCACCTGTCGGCCATCTTGAATGCGAATCAGTTCAAAAAAGGTACAATGCACAACTAGGGACCAAGGGGAACCTGCATATGAAATTTGAGAAAGATCCATCCAGTACTTTTCCAGAAATAGCGGTAACAAGAATTGTTTACGGACGGACGTACCGACGGACCAACGGACGGACAGACCACGGACAACGGACGCAGGGCCATTTGTATAACCCACCATCTATTAGATGGTGGGCTAAAAATACAGATTTCAAGATTACATCTTCACTACCATTCTATGTGTGGACTGTGGACTTGATATGTAGGTTTCCCCAGTATGCATACTATTAGAATTTGCAACACGGTGATATCAAAATCCTAAAATCCCAAAGTACAGATTGCTACAGTATATATCCTGGTTCATATTAAACTATATATCATTTTTAATCACTATCCTGCTGGTGAACAGAAAGTTTAAAAAACCTGATGTTGTTTCCTCTGTAATGATCCTAATCATCACTATTTCTTGACAAGTTCATCATAGATCTTTCTCCAATTTCAAATATAGGTAAATTCCTAGATCCCTAGTTGTTACTTCTGATTTTTTGGACTGATAAGAAAAACAAAATGGCTGACAGACAGCCATGTACTATTTTGACAATTAAAACTTGCTATTACTTTTTTGGGGTAAGTAATTGATTGATCATTCTCAAATTACTGATGTATTTTCTCCTCAGTCCCTAGTTATGCTCATTTTATTTTCTGAAAAGTACTGAAAATTCCTCTTGGTCCCCAGTTGTGCTCTTGTGTCCCCTCTTTTTAAAGTTTCACTTTAAAATCAGATTTCAGTAAATGTTTGCAGGAAGCTCCAATGACAAATCAAGACCATAAGGTGACAGAGGAGCAGTGACCAATATGATTAATAACTCAGGTGACCAAAATAAAGTTGAGATGTACTTAGCAGCAGCAATCTTCAGGCTGTTGTTAATTATTTTCATAATACAATATTAAGGTACAATATGTTACACAATTATACACTATAGTTATAAAGGGGTGGTAAAAATTGCCTGGAGATGAAAACATGGCATGAAAATGTTTTCAAATTTTCAACTTTTACAATAGGTCTATATTTCATATGATTCATCAATACACAAAGTTCAACTATATTAGTGTATAAACAATGCACTTTAATTTTTTCTGTGACATGTATCATGGTATGAAATCTTCAGGGCAGACTGCAGACGAAAAGTGATTTGAGCAGATCATCTGATGCTGAAAACTGACGAATGTTGACGATTGTATGAAAATAAATTTAAAATCAATTAGGTTGCCTTAGAAAGTTTCTTTTCTATGGAAGTTCGGTAGAAGTCAAAGACTGCTCTGCTTGCCTCTCTGCATGTTTGTGAACACTGCTGGAACTGTTGAACAGTGAAACTCCCTGTGGTATACACTGTCAGGATGGAATGATCCTTGTTCTCAAACACGAAAGTCAGTATAGCAAGGCTGTTCTTTTCCTGCTTGGCTGTTGGGTCTAGGATAATACATTCTTCACTGTCTATGGCACAGGTTACTGCTGCAACTAAGAACTTCATAGCAACACTTGCATCTAACAGAGCTAAACAGCACGAATTGACACAACATGATAGCAGTGAACCAGAGTCCTGAATTTCCTGCACAACGATACTAATAGATGATCTGGGATGCAATGCTGCTAAAAGGAATGTCTCGCATGTATTCCTTAGCGTTCTTTCAAACATCTTTTCAGCACATCCAGGCAGTCCTGATTTTGGTTTATAAACAGTCTCTACTGTAGCCTTGTTAATAATTTCTTTGTTCATGCGCACCTCTCCAGGTCCATAAATAGCTGTAGTGATGGAGGTATCTCCCTGAAACATGGTCACGTCGCCATCAGGTCGTGACAACTGACCCAACTCGCACACCATGCTACGCAGGTGTAGATTGCTTTTATTGGTAATCTCCATAATAACCCTGCAAAAGAGAAAAGAAATCAGAACCAAAGATTTACCAAGTTTACCTCAAACCATTTGTAATTGTAGTAAATTTTAACTACATCAAAACTGAAAAGTGGTTGCTAAATTTAAAGAAATCCTTCTTGTAAAAATTACAATGATACAGTGTACAAACAGATCAATACAAATTCATCACTGTATACAACCATATCTATATATATACATCACTGTCTACAAACATATCAATATATATACATCACTGTATACAGGTGTACAACTATATCAATATATATACATCACTAAATATAACGAAATCAATATATATACATTACTGTATACAGGTGTACAACCACATCAGTACACACATGTACCTCTTAATATCGGCGTTCAACTGTATCAAATTGACATTTCGGTTCCTCTCTTGTATTCTCAATACAAATGCCTTTTTACTTATCTCACCTTACCGGAAACTCTAACGGGCACGTGGTTCTGCATATTCTGCACGCTAGATGGCGCTATTGTTCCTTAATTGATCAAGACGGAAATACTTCCGAGAACGAAAATAGTACATTATCATTAATGCTCAGAATTACATATTTCGACACGTGAAAGGAATAATATATTTATTTAATTTTAATGATAGGATATTCTGGTATGCACAGTGTACTGAGTTTATGTTATAATCAATCACAAAATCTGGCTGGTGGTCAGACAGTGACGTAATTGCGGAAGAATTTACCATCCGGTCTGGTCAGACGAGGTATAGGAGTGTTATTCATAAAGAACTACGGGAGCAACAAAAGATCTAGGTTGCTACTTATCAACTGACAGAAATTTAAACAACATACAGAAGAAAAATGTCGTACAGAGACAGAATGTTCGATTCATCGAGTCGGTCAGACAGAAAAGGGTAGGTATCTGATGGAAACAGAAAAATAGTCTTGATTTTTTATGACGCCATGTTGAATATTTTCATTAAGCCATCTTAATCCTTTTTTAGATATATATTGGATTGATAAATGCGACAATGTCAATCTGTTCATTGGCTGGAATTATCTCTTTACTTAGATTTAACAAAGTTGTTTAGTTTTCGTATTTTTCTCGTTGGTGAACGGAAATTTTGTTAAATCGGTGTTTCCTCTGACCTTGCGCTTGGGAGCGTGAAACCTCGTGACGTCGTGAAAGATATTTCATTGGATAGATAGTCCGTCGATACATAGATTTACGAACATTGTTGACATTTTAACCTTTAAGAAAGAATAATTTCGGTCTCGTTTAAGTGTTCATTTTCAGTTATTTAGATTGCATGGAACGAGATACACTAAAAGTTTTCGGTCATTTTTATTTGGGATGATCAGGTTCATCTGAAATCTTTTCGTTAGAGGAAGTGAACGAAACGAAAAGGTTTCAGTTTTGACTTGTTAGTAGTAATTTTCCTTGAAATCCTTTGTTACAAAACAAAATGTCGCGAATACATAACTGTTGTCACATTCAAAAGCAATTACTTCTATTAGAAAAAAAAACCAAATAATTCACATTGTTTTAAGGACTTTTAAGAAAGATTAAAGCTTCATAACTGTGGAACGCCAATTGCATCAATTAGATGGTCACTCAATTCAAGATTTGCGGGAAGTGGTCTGAATTGATAATCTTTTTTCTATAATTTTGAATATAATTCACTATAAATCCTGTCCTGAAACTTGCCAAACTTCATCAAACATTGTTAAATGTCACATTTCAGTTCAATCATATCTCCGCAAATTCAGATACTTGACTTCCTATAGATAAGCTTCAAGTACAACTTTACATGGCATGTGCTTGAGTCAACTTTAATGCAGTGTGAAATTTTTTTTCTTACCAATGCTATTCTGTCAAACATAACCCAATACAATTAAGAACTCTTGGCACTGTCTTAGTGTGTTATGAAGGCCGACGTGTGATATGAGTAAAATTGTCAATCTTGTTAAAGATATATTTCATGATTTATTATTTTTAAGAAGCTTATGAGTTATATTGTTTGTGTAGGTTTGGTGGCAGTTCAGGAAAATTGCCTGGTGGATTTCCATCTCGTTTTGGTCAGGGAGGCAGTAGTGGAGGTGGCCGCTTTGGAAGTGGAGGTAGAGGAGGTGGTGGTGGTGGAGGAGGATTTGGTGGTGGAATGCGTGGCAAACTGGACAAAAACAGTCAGCCTGGTCAAAACCTCCGGAAACCAAGATGGGAATCTGAAAGGCTAATACCATTTGAGAAGAACTTCTACCGTGAACACCCAAAAGCTGCTAACAGAGATCCTGTAAGTATGTGCAGCTGAAAATACATAGCTGGACTTGATAAGAGTTTCAATCCAATTTAGTATGGGAGGAGGAATTATATCTCGGAAAATATGATGCATCTGCTCCTTTTGAATTTATCTCCAGTTCCTCATACAATAATATAACTACCAAAATATTTGTAATATTGTGAAATATTTACATCAGAAATTCTATTTTAAGTCTCATTTTGCATGGATTCCACACCTTTTTTTGATACCCATTGACAAGAATTGATTTCACAAGCAAAAATAAATTTTAAGGTATCTACTTTGTTCATGTTATAAGATAAGGTGAATGGGTTAAGATTGAATAGATTGATAAAATTAATTTACTTTTCAGAAATGTACATTAATTTACATTTATAATAACATTTGAAAAATTACCACTCAGATTTAACATTTCATGTCATTAATGTTATGTCCAAATATATACTTAGAATGGCGAATGTTTCACCAATCTAATGTAAATTCTATTCTTGAGTAAAACATTGGTTTGCACATTCTTTTTCCGCAGAATGAAATTGCTGCATACTTTGATGCAAACAAGATCACCTTTAAAGGAAGCAACCCTCCAAAACCTGTTTTAACATTTGATGAAGCAGGATTTCCAGGCAAGTAAATCCTTTCTTGAATACAACTAAGGAATTCCAAAATATTTTGTTGCAAATAGGATAATATCAGTTATATGGTAAATTATTTTTACCTGGATGACTTTTCAAAATCACATTAAGTTTATTTTAGGCGGAAAAGTTGATCTTACAATATATTTATTTCACAGAGTATGTAATGGCATCATTCAGACGTCAAAGTTGGGGTTGTCCAACAGCCATTCAAGCAGCTGGCTGGCCCATTGCTTTGTCTGGAAGGGACTTCGTGGGAATTGCTCAAACAGGTTCTGGAAAAACTGCTGGTGTAAGTATGAACAGGTTTGACGAACCCTTATCCTGACAGATGGTATATGTATGATTTAGTAGTAACATGTAGTAACATGCATATCCCTGCTTCTGAATGTAGAAGGAATCGGCAAGAAAGCTTAAGATTAATTCTGATAGGTTGACCTATTTTCCCTTTTTAAATTATAATAAGTTTGACCTGTATATGCTTTGGTATCTTCAAAGATTTCATGTTTGCATCAGTAATGCTATCAGGGGGATGGCTGCTGTTACCGACGAGAGTAACAGTTACACATGCTTGGAAACACATCAATGATTTAGTAGTTCAGGTGAAAGTGAAAACATTTTTGAGAGATTGGGAATAAAGGATATACAAGATCCTAAAGGAGTTGTAAGTGAACACTTTCCTACAGCTTTTGTAATGTTATTTTTAATTCATCTTCATATTATTTTGGTTACAGTTCATCTGCCCAGCTACTGTACACATCATGGCTCAGCCTCATCTGCAACCACGTGATGGACCTATTGTAAGTGATTAAGAGTAACCTTGTTTTAGTACCTGAAGCAAAATTCATATGACATTTATTAAGAGGTCAGTTTTTTCATGGAGACAATAATCAAGTAAATTATGTCAGTCAAGTATATTGCTCTTATCAAATGTTTAAATAGAAAGAATTTCTAGTCAATATCGACTATGGAGGGTGAGGGTCTAAATGATACTCTGGTCTGCTGATTTTTCCAAGTGTATCATCTTTATCTAGTCTACAAAACTTTTTCATATCTTACAATCTAACAAGTAGTTTTGTAATATTGTAATTATCTAAACTACACATTTTTCATATTCTTTGAAATACCTGTAATTGTCCACCTATAAAGTTGTGCATGTTCACTGGATTTCAGGTGTTGGTATTGGTTCCTACTCGTGAGTTGGCCCAGCAGGTACAGGAAGTTGCCATTGAATTTGGTCAGAGCTCTAGAATAAGAAGTGTTTGTGTTTATGGTGGATCTCCGAAAGGCCCACAAATAAGGGACTTGGAAAGAGGTAAGTTAGTTCATAAGTGTTGAAGAAAATAAGGACTATCAATTTTGGTGTAAATATTTTTGTTTGTATTAAATTATTGTTGGCAGAAAACTGAGTTCATTGATTTGCATTCTCATTTTAAAGTTAAGAGAAGTTCACAATGACTGCAAATTCTTACAAGTATGCTCAGTTGATGTGTAGATGGCAAATTCCATCCGGGCCATTGAGTAATTAGTAGAAGCTTAAAGCATGTTTCACACTTGCTGTAAAGTAAAGTTTATACAAATACTTATTATACAATATGGAATTTAAAATCAGGAGACATGTCAGCTTATGATAATTAAATATTTTGCAGCATAAAATGTGAATTTGATTACAAAAGTATTACATGTGAAATCTATTCCAGGTGCTGAAATCTGCATTGCCACTCCAGGAAGACTCATTGATTTACTTGAAGCTGGAAAGACAACCTTGAAAAGAACCACATACTTAGTTCTTGATGAAGCAGACAGAATGTTGGACATGGGATTTGAGCCTCAGATCCGTAAAATTTTGGAGCAGATTCGTGTAAGTTATTTGTCAGTGAAGTTTTTCATTCTGTTGAGACATCATTTATGTATATTGTTCATGCATATAATTTTGCATCGGCTTGTGTTTTTAGCCTGATCGACAGACTCTTATGTGGAGTGCAACATGGCCAAAGGAAGTGAGGAAACTTGCTGAAGATTTCCTTAAGGAGTATGTACAACTCAACATTGGTGCTTTACAGTTGAGTGCCAATCACAACATTCTTCAGATCATTGATGTGTGCAATGACTCGGAAAAGGATTACAAGTAAGTAACTATTGTTTACTTGTGCAAATCTAAAACCTTTGTTAAAATTTGGATTTGAATTAATCATTCAGATTATCATGGTATTCTTGTGTTAGCAACTACATGTGATGCAGATTTTTATGGTCACAAAGAAATAATTTCTCTGCAATACCATTTATATTATGACATTACTGTAGTAATGATCTGTTGTAGGTTGCTGAAGTTGCTTGAGGAGATTATGCAAGAAAAGGAAAACAAGACACTAGTGTTTACAGAGACAAAGAGGAGAGCTGATGAATTGTCCCGTAAAATGAGGAGAGAAGGGTAAGCTATAGTAAAAAAAAAATCACACCCTGCTTAATTCAGTTAATATCTTGTCTTCTAAAATTTCCCCCTTCCACTTAAACGCATCATGTTTTTGGAAAGGGGAATATTTTCTGGAATTTACAAGATCTTGTTTTTGTTTAGAGAATGAGGAAAAAAGTGAAATTGATGAAAGATTAACTACTAAGAATCAGGATAATATTGGAACATTTCCTATATATTGGATGTTCCAATTTAATGGGACAATTTAGATTTTCTTTCAAAAAGAGGTATCTTTTCAAATTCTAGAAAATAATGTTTGGAATGCTTGAGCTATGATTTTTTATCAATAATTCTAAAAAAAGTTGCCCTTAATGGATAATCCTGTCTCCAAACCCAGATTTTTCAACAGCATGGAAACAAGCTAAAAAATTGAGTCATTTCGACTTTTCACCAGGAAAAAACTTATGTTCTTTTGACATGTAAAAATAGAAGTGTTTTTGTCGACATCAGATGTTTGATTTCTTCTTGCAGATGGCCAGTGATGTGTATTCATGGCGACAAGTCCCAGCCAGAGAGAGACTGGGTACTCAGTGGTATGTTATTTTATTTTATACCATGTTAATTTGAAAAAATTGAGTAATGTTGAAAAAAAAATGTAGGAATCCAGTTCTGTCAAGTAAATCTATAACATTACACTTATGATTCTCTTGTCCTTGATGTAAATATTGTCACAAGAATGAAGATATTTACATCAACTATGAAGCCCCACTCCATTAGGGCAATTTTTCTTTCACTCAACAAGCTTTGTGTCCCTTTTACAGAATTCAGGAATGGCCGCACACCAATTCTTATTGCCACAGATGTAGCATCCAGAGGTCTAGGTTTGTATACCTATAACAGATATCTCTCTTTAGTATTTTTGTTAAACCATTTTATCATATCATATCTTTATTCATTTTGTTTTGCCCCTTTTGTTTCCTGTAACAACTACCTTAAAATAAATATTTCTTTCAATCCTCATTCCATCATCGCTCTCTTATTTGAGTGCCATAGCATCTTAAAAATAATTTTCATTGTTCATTTTCATTCATGTTGTCTATTGGATATTGTATTAATGTGGTTCAAGATTCATTTTAGCAATATGAACATGGAAGCTGGACCGGCATGACAGATATATGTAGAGGCAAAGAGGGGGAGTAACTAATATCAATATGTAGTCTCTCGGGGCTCAGTTTTCATTATGGAAAAAAATGGGCCAGGTACTTGAAGGTGATGCAATAGGTTAATAGAACGTGGAACTGCCAGGAATTGTTGACAACAATTTTTGGCCCATGAATTCAAAACATAATTTCAAACAATGCTGCAAGAGCCAAGCCAGTTTGTACTTTGTTCATGATGGTAATCTGACATGTACTAAAGGTTCTCTCTGCTCAGCAGTGCAACACCAGAGACTTTGCTATATGGACTAATAAGATACGAGAGATTAAATGCTTCACTGATGGACATCCCTCTCGTCTCTCCCTCGCTGCATCAGAATTTTGTCATGTCGGATTTCAGCTCAGATAGCAAGTATTAACATAAAATACGAGTTGAAATGGAACTTTGCTTGGCATCCGAACTGACTACAGACTGCTTACCATGGAAATGTGCCTGAATTGTTTCGGGGGAATATATTAAGTGGATTATGATTGGGAAAAGTATGTTGTTTCGGAAAAAGAAATATTGCATACGAGTGAACAGGCAAGAGTACTTGTAGGTGAATTATGCACTCCAGTCCGAGCTTGAATCATGAACTGTCTGCACAACATGTCTTCTTACTGGCTCCTTGACTTTCCTTCATAATGGAAATAAGTAATGCAAGTCTGTTGACCATTGGTGGAAAATAATACCAAGGTAACTCCAGCATGGTGTCTAAAAGCAGGTGTAGGCGATTATCATTTCTAAAAAAAAAGTTGGTATATTGTTGATTTCTATTAAGTTTGTGTTCTTTCTCTTTAATGTTTATAAAATTGGAATTTCATGTGCACCATGCATATTGCTTTGCAAATTAGTTCAATGCTACCATACTTTTCTCTGTTTATTTGGTCGTATGTCTTGCTTAAATTGTGTATGGTTATTTTGATGTTTGAGAAAAAAAAATAATGTATTTCAAAGTTAAGCTATAATCATTAGAATGACATATTTTTAAAAGGCTTTCTTAATGTGACTATAGAATTAGTAAGTTAAATGCAATAAATTAAAGTTTATAAACATCTTTACATTATATATAAATGAATATAACATACTGTAAATAAGATATATAAACTGTGGAGCATTAGTGGGGATGTGTAGACATGAAAAGTCATGAGGAGATCACCACACTTCTGGAGTGCATTTGTTTAGAAGTCAGTCTCGGAGCAAAGTACCAGAAAAGCCATCGTAACTCTTTCAAGAGAGATGCATGCTCCCTCATGTGTGCACCTGATGATAGGATTGTGATTACCCTGGGGTTACAGGTAGAGCTTCAGCTGTCTTAAGGTAAGTCTTGTCAAGGTAAGTCAGCTTTATTTGAAAGGTGACCCAGGGCTAATTATGCTATATTTAGATCATTTCTGTCACAATAGGCAAGCTATTGGGAGTATGCATTTGATGGTTTTCAACTTCATAGAAAGAATACTGATGGTTCTGTAGTGTTTTCAGAAGGATGAACAGATGATTTTCCAGCGAAATGTTGTTTTGGTTTCAGATACTTGTGAATAAGTCTTTAAAAGATTTATCCAATCTCTTACACCTTGTTCTGTTCTTCTTCCCTTGTTGCTTTTGTGTGTTGATTATGACACATTGCAACTTAAAACAGATGTGGAAGACATTAAGTTTGTCATAAACTTTGACTACCCCTCAAGCTCTGAGGACTATGTACATAGAATTGGGCGTACTGCCAGAGCAGGCAACACAGGAACTGCATACACATTCTTCACCCCAGACAATGTCAAACAAGCCAATGACCTTGTCAATGTACTGCGAGAAGCCAACCAAGTCATCAATCCTAAACTCCTTCAATTGGCAGAGAACTCCAGATTTGGATACAAAGGTATAAAACTAAAACTGTTCAACCTCATAACAGTTACTGAGAAACTACACTAAGCTGAATGATGTAGGGAGTTTTTAATTTTGTCGATAGGTCTTGTTAACATATAAAGTACTCCTGGTCCAATATTTTCAAAACGTTTCTTGCCTCAACACAAAAAGGATGTACAGAGTTTGAAATAAGTATACTTTAGATATATATGGAAAAAAATGTTTTAAAACTATTCATTTAAAGGAATATTGTACTGTTATATAAGTTTATGGTTGTATTTGCAGGTCGCAGTAGGGCACGAGGACGAGATGATAGAGGTGGTCGATTTGGGAATCGTGATTCATTTGGCTCAAGAGATAGAGGATCGTCTCGTGGAGGACGGGGTGGATATGGAGGAAGCAGGGGTGGTTATAGTGATGGTGGTGGCTCCAATTTCAACAGAGATAGGCCTAGTGGGAATTCTGCTGGTGGAGGTAGCAGGTTCTCAAGTCAGGGGGCCTCAAGGTTTGGGGGGGCTAATAATAGTTCAAACAATAACACCTACAACAGCAATACCTCTAAAAGCTATGGACAAGGAAGCAACAACAATTATGGCAGTCAAAATTCCATCAATGGTGGAAGTTTTGGAGGTCAGCAACATCATCAGCAGCAACAACCTCAACAGAATGGATATGCTAACAGCAATGGAGTAAGCAACACTGGTGGTAAACCCAAGGACTTGCAAAATATGGCTTACATGTATAGTCAATGGATGCAGCAATCTCAAAAACCTAACCAACCCCCTCTCCCCAGTGGCAATCCACCACCACCACCCAAGTTCCCTCCCCCACCTCCCCCATCTATGTGATGATAAAAAATTATAGGATTCAGGAAAAAATATGGTGCAAGTGGAATTTTATTTATTGTTAAATTTACTTTTAGTTCCACTAGCTGTCGACGTAGTGTTCCATGGTGGTGAAGTCAGTTGGTCGATATTGTATGCATGGAAGGAGGTGTGCAAGTGTTTTTGAATGAGTGTTGTGTGTATGCGTGAATGCTTGGTAGTGTCATATAAAGTGAACATTTCATCTGTCGGCGTCAGGTTCATCATTTACTGACCATGGTTGAAGATATTTCTGAGGAGAGACCAGTTGTTAATGATGCACTCTATTTTTGAGTCATCTATCAGATATATTTTCCCAAATTAAAGAGCATCGTTGAACAAGGTACTTATTCAAAGGATATTTAACTGTCTCTCCACAAAATCTTCAAGTGAAATCCAGAAGTTATTGGACAGTTGATATTTGGTATTTTACAATCTTTTTACAATGCTTGAATTTTTTTCAGGGAACAATTTTTTTAATATCATTGGATAATCTCTTCCGTGTTTGGAGAGTAAAAAATGATGGGATCACAGGGATGCCACAATTTCTTGGAAGGGAGGTGGGGATGTTGGTAGACCAATTTTTGGACAGGATGGGGTTTTTCAATTTTAGTCATTCAATAACATTTTACGTATTTGGTTCTCATCAGGCATGAGTAAATGTTGCTCGATGTTCTTTTCAAATTAAATTTCAGTATCTGAATTTGACTTTTGTTGTTTCTACAATTCCTTTAGTTTACAACTTCCCCTGACTGATCATCGATGTTTTTAAACACATCATTAATGTTGAGGTAACGAGTACCTGGGGTCAGGATTAATATATGAATAAACCACTTTCGGACAGACTACTTTTTAAGTTACCAGTAGTTGATGAGGCATAGTTTTCAAGGAAAGCAGTTTTTCAATGAACTTCTTGTTTCATTGACCATTTAATAGTGTGAAGATGACATTAAATCTTTTTTCCTCTCTCTCTCTCTCTCAAATTCTCACTCCAGGCACTCGTTGAAATAACATGGATAAGGACTTGCCTTATGCAGTATGAAAGAGGGTTGTGGAATTTCAACTCCCTACAGTGCAACATAAAAAATAGTTTCACGACCCAGAAAAGTTAATATACGTTTCTTCAGTTGGATATGTTACAAGAAAGGGTAAGTTCTTAAAATGTATTTTTAAATTAGAAATTTCTGGAGAAGTGCTGGATGGATCTTTCTCTAATTGTATATGTAGATTCCCTTGGTACCTAGTTTTGCTCGTATAATTTTAGGACTGGTCAGAGAAACGAAATGGCTGACAGACGGACATCTTGGATTTTGACTTTTGAAAGTTTGTTATATCTATTTCTCGAGAACTACAGCATAAATATTTCTAAAATTTCATGTTAATGCTTGATCCCTAATTGTGCCTGTTCGATTTTCGTACTGATCAGAAAAACAAAATGGTCAACAAGCGGTCATCTCGGATTTTGACGTCGAAAGTTTGATCACCATTTCTTGAGAACTACTCGATAGATCTTTCTCAGATTTCTTTCATATGTTCCTTGTGCCTGCTTGAGTTTAGTAATGATCAGAAAAACCAACTGATAGACAGGCAGCCATCTTGGATTTAATCTAGTAAATATTGTTATTGTTTGGGTTCTTAAAAGAAGCACTGAATGGATATCTGCCAAATTTCATACGTATGTTCTCTTTGGTCGTTCCTTGTGCTCGTTGATTTTGGGACTGATCAGAAGAAACAAAATGGTTTCCAGGTGGCCAGTTTGGATAAAGGTAAAAATTATTGCTATTTCTGCATAGGAATGTTCAAATGTCTTATCAGTATAAACAAAAGGGAAAAGATCCCACTTACAAAGAGCGTATAAAGATCAAACAATGGTGGGCGCTAAGATCCCTCTTTGATCTCTTGTAGTTAAGTATGTTTTCCATCGGCTTGTATACACAATTACTAAACTTGGACCCCAAAACAGTGCTTAATGTTCAAAAGTCAATAAATTTAACCGAAATGAAAATTGACAGCTCCACAAAATTCTTTTAAATACATGCTTATTTTAGATAAGTATATGCTATTTAACAAGTTAAAAAGGTTTATAAACCGTTAAGCATTAATAATGACTAGTACCTACGAAAGCAAACGACAGGTCTTGTGGGCCATTACTAATATCTATGTTTGATCTGTTTTAAAACAATTTCAATTATAATCTGATGAACCTACGTCTTAATATTTTGAAAAGCATAATCTAATCGGTCTCTGGGATTATTGTTGATTTCATATTTAATTGCATGGTGTCCATTTTCTACAATAAGTCATTGTAGGACGTGTTTCCTGTTCAAACTGAGCTTAATTGGAAGTGCTTTATTTAGAACAGCAAACGCACGACTGAAATCTCGTAATTCGGCAAATAAACAAATTAACAATCAACGGCTAATTCATTGAAACGGGCGAAAAATCATGGTATATATATATAAGTATACGTACCATTACTCACGAGATCTCGACTGCATATTGGAAATATTTTGATTAAAGTTCTTGATATCTGCATACATATAAAAAAAAAATGATCTAAATAAGCGCCCCGACTGGTCATGTATTATTAACCTATGAGGTGTAACCATGCGAAGTATAGATATAATGTTCCATAGGATCCTATGTCCAGTATGGTATATCGGACATTCTATATGTAAAATGGCGATTATACTATGAAGACGGGGCGTAGCTTCCATAGAAAGAAAAAGCCTGGGCTTACACATAAAAGATCCGTGCATAGAGTATGTCGGACAAAATTACAAAACTAAGGTAGCAAATACATATCAGGGGTTGAAGTTTGTTGTTAGATAAAAAAAACTGTCTCAGAAAACTAAAAACATCTTTGAAATCATGAAATTCGTGACCCCTTGCCTGGGCTTACATATTTCTGCTTGGCTAGCTACGCCCCAGGAAGATAGCTGGAATTATATATGTGAATTTCATATCTATAAATCCTGCTATTTTAGTTTATTATGATAGCTATATTTCACATACATAACGCCCGTTTCCGTAGATTAATTACGTAACGCTAGCCCAATATCGTCAGGGTTTATTCCACCGCTCCTACCATTGTACCGATCGCAGTGAACGAACAAGTCATGTTATAGTAATATTAATACTGTTTTTAATTTATTTAAACTGTCATTTTCCCTTTCGTGTTTTTATAAAGCATTACAATCCCATAACAGTAAGTCACCTTTAAGAGGCCAAACACATTTTCTTCATCATATCAGTTACAAAGATTTCAAAACGCCAATCATTTTCATCGTCCGTCGTCATTAGCAGTCCGTAAACTTCGTGCACTCAATACCAAACAATATCAGAAACGATTATACTTACACTGGAATGTACAAAGGAAGCAAAGATATATATGTATAATACAATATTATACATATATATCTTTGCTTCCTTTGTACATTCCAGTGTAAGTATAATCGTTTCTGATATTGTTTGGTATTGAGTGCACGAATCTCGGTCCACTCCAGCCATACATCTGTTAAACTTGGTACTGCTTCCAAGTTACGAAGCTCTCCGTATAGAAATCAGGTCTGTTTTATTTCCATGTCATTCGATTACCGATCGCAGTGAACGAACAAGTCATGTTATAGTAATATTAATACTGTTTTTAATTTATTTAAACTGTCATTTTCCCTTTCGTGTTTTTATAAAGCATTACAATCCCATAACAGTAAGTCACCTTTAAGAGGCCAAACACATTTTCTTCATCATATCAGTTACAAAGATTTCAAAACGCCAATCATTTTCATCGTCCGTCGTCATTAGCAGTCCGTAAACTTTGCGTATGAAACCCTTGTGCTTAACGCGTGGGCGGATTTAACCAAAAAATCATTCGGGATGAGGGAATTATTTAGTTAAATTCAGAATGTTGATTTGAACCCTAAGGACATAGGGACGGTGCTCCAGAAGGGGAAATTAGACAAAAACACTTCACCTTCTTGCTTCAAAACACTACTATGCCTGGGTAGATTTCAACCATGAAACATTCTTCAGGGTTCACGCCAGCGGTCGCCAATGTTGTATTTTGCGATTTAAACAAAATGGCGATAAATATTGAGTTAAGCGATGATTTTGTAAAAAAAAAATCTTGAAAGTGTGCCAGTAGTTTAATCATTTATATAATACAGGTGATACTGGTCATCAGACTGTCTTCTCCGGGCGAATTCACAGCCCAATTAAATAATTAGTGTAACGCCACGACTAGAAATCACCTCTAAACAGCAGGTTCCCGACGAACAGTGTGTACAGATAGTAGACAATAGAACTCTAACAAGTAGTCCAAAGACATATGGGACAGAACAGAAATGATTAAAAAGATTTTTGAAAATCAACCTACCTTGTATGGTAATTAGTACATTTAACAAACAATGGGTTTAGATTTTTTTTATATCCGTTAGTTTCAAAGGAAAATAGCGAGTTGTGTTCCGTTCAAATAAAAAACAAGGAGAAAATTTATCACCATTTTTATTCTCAATTTATCTTAATGATCTGGAAGATTTTCTTGCAGAAAATAATGTTAATTGTCTTCAAACAATAGAAACTTTGGGTGAAAACATTGAAATGTATTTAAGATTGTTTATTCTTCTGTATGCAGACGACACTATTATTATGTCTGAAACAGCGGAAGGACTTCAATCTGCTCTTAATACTTTTGAAGTATATTGTAATACCTGGAAGCTTAATGTTAATACTAACAAAACCAAAATTGTTATATTTGCAAAGAGAAAAGGTCGCACAGCCTTCCACTTTACATTGTGTAATGACGAAATTGAAATTCTTGATGAATTTCCTTATTTGGGTGTTTTAATTAATTACAACGGAAGTTACTTTAAAGCTAAATGTAAATTAATGGAACAGTCAATGTTTGCTGTTTATAAGAAATATTCAGCTTCCAGTAGCCCTTCAGTTGAAGATTTTTGACTCACTTGTGTTGCCTATACTTTTGTATTCAGTAGAAGTTTGGGGTTTTGAAAATTTAAGTGTCATTGAAAAACTTCATTTACAATTTTGCAAACGTATTTTAGGTATTAGAGGAAGTACACCAAATTTTATGATTTATGGTGAATTGGGGAGATTCCCTTTACTTATTGAAGCTAAAAGCAGAGTTATTATGTTTTGCTATAAATTAATTACCTGTAATAACTTGTCAAGTATCATGTATAACTTAATGTACAATCTACATATTAATGGCAATATGGATTTCAAGTGGTTGAAAAATGTACAAAATACTTTTATAGAAACTGGTTGAAACTTTATCTGGGACTTCCAGAAAATATGTACATTTAATGGAAATTATTTAAAACTTGTCATTAAGCAAAGACTACAAGACCAGTTCATACAAAAATGGTTCAGTGATGTAATTAATTCCTCTCGAGGAAATACCTATTGTATAATGAAAAGTAATTTTGAATTAGAAAAAAATCTTTTGAGACTTAAACCTAGAGAAAGACAAATTATCGTTAAATTTAGAACTTCAAATATGCGTTTACCTATAGAAACAGGAAGATGGATCGGAATACCGAAGGAGAACAGAGTTTGTAATCTTTGCTCAAATGAAATTGGCGATGAATACCACTATCTTTTTAGATGCGATCTTGAATCAGTGAAGAGAATAAGAGATCAATTTATTCCACATTACTATTCTACTTATCCTAGTATTACTAA